TGCTTTAATAGATAGAAGGGAACACGTGTAGAGAGCACATGGCAATGTTCACGCACATGTCAGACTGCTGCTTTAATAGATAGAAGGGAACACGTGTAGAGAGCACATGGCAATGTTTACGTACATGTCACACTGCGGCTTTAATAGATAGAAGGGAATACGTGTAGAGAGCACATGGCAATGTTCACGCACATGTCAGACTGCTGCTTTAATAGATAGAAGGGAACACGTGTGAGAGCACATGGGAATGTTTACATTCATAAGTCCCTAAAGACATTATGATATATAGACATGATTCGCTCATAGTGCGCATGACGATGGTTACAGTCTACATAGACATTATGATACACAGTCTTGAACTTATTAAACGTATTGAAAGTGGATAGAATAAGAAGTTTGTCATTTCATTCAAAGTAATATAGATGTCATGATGGACGATGAAAAAGGACCACGTGTATAGAGCACATGTTTAAATTTTTTCTGTGTCCAAAAATAATCTGGCCTTACGTTTTTGAAGATTTTCCTCTTTTTCATTTTTGGGATTTTCTTCTAATATCAACCATCCTGTGAACTATGGTTTTCTATGGCAAGCAGCAGTTTGAATATCCATATATGCCTAAGGGTGCAGTTGCACAAAAAAGGAGTCCACTATATATATATACTCTAAACAGGTCAGTGGTGAAGGCTCAACGGACTGTCTACCTAATTGTTAATTGTTATTTCAAAGGTAGAGTCCATTTCAGGATAGATAAACCTGTATTTTCACCTGTGGTTTCATGTACACATGATCACCAGAAGTGATTTATTATACCTGTTAAAAAATGTTAATTTCAAAAAGTTCAAAAGCAATAAAGCATCCACCTTAGCATAACGTTATCAGGTGTATAATAACCAATATTAGCATAAAAGCCTGGCATGTATATATATATCCTTTTAAACTGGTGTTTCCCTTGTAAATATGCATGCATACAAATTCACAATAAAAGAAAAACAGTCAAATCACAATTCATATTTATGACAAAATAAATCAATATTTAATTGCCAAAATGCTCGCCTAAACTACATGCACATGAAAAGCATGACACAAACATCAACAATTTAACCAAAAACCTACATTTTTACCATTGTTCCAGAGAATTTGTTAACACTCGCTCCGCTCGGCCATCATAAAATATAAATACTTTATTTTATAAAATATAACCTGGAATAATACCGCAAACTCAGAAAACTATTCTATGCCTTATTCGATCTGTTTGACAATGGAAATAATGTCCGATAAATTCTATACGCTTGGCAGTGCTTGAACAAGTTTAGTACTACATCTTCAGAAAAAAAAATCGCATCGCTCTGCTCGGCAGGGAGATTATGATTGTCATAATCTCAGAAATAATGAAGTCGTATATATTGTTTGCTGCCAGAAAGTAGTATATATGTACAACCGACATGACAATTATAAATTCCTATTTTTTTTTAGTCTTTTTCTGTGTTTAAAATTTTGGCAACACCCAAAATTAATTCCTGGGTTCCCCCCTGGATTGTCACTCTCTATAACACAAGCACATCTTTTTGGAGAGGATTGTTGGTGAATGTGAATTTGGTGTTTTCGCCGGTCACTGAACCAGAAAATAAACTGTGGAATCCGCCATGAAACTGGAACATGCAGGTGTTGAATTTGTGTGAAGCTAACACTCATGTTTATATAATATTGAATTTATTAAACTCGTTTGTTAATTTTATTCTCCCAGTCCCCCTGCCTTTGCTATCAATCCAAGCAGTAACTCGGTCAGCCATTTTGTTTACAAACGTAGAGGTTGTAGTGTGCAGGAATATGACCTGTTTCCCACGGTGACAAGACTCAAATGCATGTTCATTGTAAGTGTCCTATATCGTTTTTATTGAACGGCAATATTGCACGGAAATAGCCAGTATTATATAATAAAGTCATTTATCGGTTTATTTATTTTTCATTATTATTGTTTATTTGTTCTTAATTTTGATATACATAAACAACACAATATAAGCAAATACACACAGTTCACAGTTATAAATACAAACACACGTACCTGCATACGTATATCTATGAAAGTGATATATTGCACAGTACTTTGATAACATTGAAATTAGTTTCCTATAGAGATGATAATAGTTTCAGCATTTCAAATGGAAATAATTACAACATGTTATATATAAACCTGTTTCATATTTACAAAGGAATTTAGGTCACGTATTTATTTTTATTTTCTTATTATTATTTTTTTTTTCATTTTCATAGACTAACACAGCACAATGCCGACATACTGCCACATTTAACATAGTTAAACTAACACACACGAACCTATAATACATCTAACAAGTGACGTATAGCACACTACTTAGATAACATTGAAATTAGTTTTGTCATTTCTAACAGAGATGCAAATATTCTACAACAGTTTAAATATATACCTGTTCCATATTTACAAATAAATTTAGTCATATTTTTTATTTTTTTATTACTTTTTCACATTTAGTTTCATTTTCACAAACATTAACGACACAATACCAGTATATACACCTATTTTACATTTTTATACAAACACACACGTACCAACATACAAACGTGCATACCTGACATGTTATACAGTGATAGAAAGGTCAATAATTTGATAGCATTGAAATACATTTTATCATTTCTTACAGATATGAAAATATTCTACAACAGTTTTTATAATTACCTATTCAACATTTACTAAAAAATGTTTGACACCCATTTATCTATTTATGTTTCGTGTTCATAGATAATACAATATCAACATATAGACAGAGTGTACTAAATATCTGTACCAGTGATACATATTTATAGCACAAGGTTTGATAGAATAGTACTTAGCTATGCTATTTTATCGTTTTAACGAATCAACGTTTCGAGTTCGAAGCGTGTTTGTATCATAGTTAAATGTAAAATGTATGTTCAATCAACAGCGTGTGCATTTTTTAATCAGTATGAGAACATTTGAATATTATACCATAAAAAAGATCATCATCAGGAAGCAAACAGTGTTATCTGAGGCCTTTTAATTTATTTTTTTGTGTACCATAACAGATATGATACAGCTTCTTAGAACAGGACGAGATCCTAGTTCTCCGATCGAGTGTAGGTTGGATCGGCTGTGGATTTCCCAAAAGGTTGTAATTGGTGCACGCGGGGCACATGAAATAGCAGATGAACTACGTCATCATCCATATATACCGCGGGTATATACGTGCGGCAGATGTAAACTGATAAGGCTATTTAGGCCACATTAATCCTGTTTAACCATCACACAGTCAACCATTTAGTCGTATATGTATAACACTTAAAATAATTCACATTTATACTAGTCCGTTCTTTTAGCATCATACTAGCTGGTACGGTTAGCTGAAGTAGGGTATATTCTACGTATTACGACGCGTACTCGTTATATAAAGAGCGAGGAAACGTTTCAATGACAGATACGTCACTCCTGTCAAAATATAGAACAGTCCTGCTACCCTCAGGTCATATCGTGCTTTGAATCATGGGTACAGATGTACTTGTCTCGGTCAACGTATTTTTCAGTTACGTTTAATGTGTTTTTTTATGTCTATTTAATACATTTTAAGCTGGCCCTAATGCGTCGTCATATTACAAATAATATCTATGATGTATGTCGATTGAATACATTTTAGGTAATATTGTTGATATAATACATTAGACTTGACTGACAAAACGTGATTTTTAAATTGTTCTTTTCCTTTTTATTTTCGTAATTGATACATGTTCCGGATACCAATATAACATACACCTTAGCTAAAGGTACGCACATAACGTTAAATGGTACATAAGGACTGTTACGGTAATATGTGTTTAAGATATCCACAAGCAAACTTAAAGCTAACGTGACGTATTGTTAACACGCTATACTACCTTTGATGTGTTGGCCAAAGGCCGAAACTTGTAACTATAGTACGACATTTATAATGACCCAAACAAAGGGGTGAAAACAGGGAGAAACATCGATTGTGATCACCATAAACTCTCTACAATTGTACAGGTAACCAGCTCCAATATTTACCTATCCTGACCTCTGGAATGTTGCCAATCTAATTATACCGTCCAATCAGACTGCGGGGGAGAGTCTAAGATTATAATTACCCACCGAGACTTCCGTGACGTTATCCAGGTAACTACACATACAGTCATAAGGTAAATATACAGTGACGTCAGTCTCCAGTATCAACATGGCCGGGGCCGCAACAACACGCGTGTTTCGTTTTCCGTTGTACCTTTTTCTCTGGAGTTACATCGGTGTTTTCGTTAATGGAGTAGTAGGTGAGTTCACATCTTCATTTCGGTTCATTAAATTTGCTTCAGTTGTTAATTTTTACAACCGCGTCTGTTTCGCCTCTTTGTTTAACACACATGCTCCTATTAAACACGCTTTGTACTATCATAATGTACCCGTCATTATTGTATCGTAACTATACCTATTTATCAATATATCATATTGCTTTTGTATATTCAATGTCGATTGTGAGAATACTGTAGTGAATCAGGCAGATTGAATATATGTATTGATTTCCGGTGAGTAATCACGAATATATTGGTTCTACATGACGACAGTCACGATACCACTATAACGGTACCCATGTTATAAATCATTCACATAAAATCATTGAAAAACATAATATTGTTTGTTACTGGTTAGAGAAGTTGTCCTTTTGAATTATGTGTATTGTTATTCTCTTTATTTCCTCCTTTAAGAAGATTTTACAAACAGAATAATGTAGTTACAATGATAAATTAGATAATAAATGCAAAATCAAATAGATGGTAAGGTAAAATTAGTGCACACCGTAATAAGTTAACATAATAGGAATAGGTTAATCAATTTGAGTACAGTTTACAAAACAATACATAATTAATAATGTTAAGAATGATATACACAAAAGTATTGAATATTCATTCGAAGTATGCATTAAGCATTTTTGAAATATGATTGACTGATGCCATACGAAATTCTGTTAACTCTAATGTATTCAGGTCATACGTTATATTGCCACCAATCAGTAGGTGAAACAATTCATAGTCTGAATGAGAGTGTAAATATACGCTAAACATAAGTTCACATGCATTAATGACTTGACACCATAACTGATCTCGTAAGTCTTCTGTACAATCACATTGTAAAACTATGTGGGTATATATATCGTTATACATTTGTCCACATTTATAACATAATTCAGTTTTTCTGAATGTCTTAGAGATACAATCAATTTCATTATACTACGTATGGCTTCTCTGTTTTGAGGAAATTTTATTAACAATTTCCACAATATATGAGGAGCCAAATTATCATGAACAATTATAAATCTGCAGAAATCGCGGTTACCACTCATTCTCTCCTTACATGCTTTTTCTTCATATAACTGTACATTATGCTTTACTTTCGCTTTCAATGTACTTTTCACTGTTTTCATTGTAAGATTTCCCCTTCGATATTTTTTGTTTAAATTTAAACAGCGTTTATTTTAACTTATTTAAAGCAACGCGTTAAAACGGCCGATATCTTGAGAAAAGATTTCATAAATTAGTTGTGATATATATAATGATTTATGTGAAATGTTTTCAACAAGTATGTTAACTTCGTTAAATAAGAGTTACACGTGACAGCAAGATATATATATATTTCACTTGAATACAGTTGTTATTTCCTTTTATCTTTAAAAAGGATATCACTTTTACGTTTAAGGATATGTCGTTGAGTGTTAAATGTTAAGTTATGTTGTAAATGTCAAGTCTCAGAATATTAGAGTTGACAACAGTATGCGGGGTATATACATATATTAGACATTTCCGTACAGAAAAGTATAGTTCAGTTCCGCTAATGAAGCATGTTTTTTCGGTATGAAATATAAAATACGGTAAAGGTAAGTACAGTATACCATAGAATACAAACAAACTTAGCAGCGTAATTATATTATAGATTACTGTTAGTACTATAACCACACACACAGTATAACTATATCATAGATTACTGTTAGTACTATAACCACACACAGTATAACTATATTATAGATTACTGTTAGAACTGTAACCACACACAGTATAATTATATTATATATTACTGTTAGTACTATAACAACACACAGTATAACTATATAATACATTACTGTTAGTACTATAACCACACACACAGTATTACTATATTATAGATTACTGTTAGTACTATAACCACACACAGTATAACTATATTATATGTTACTGTTAGTACTATAACCACACACACAGTATAACTATATTATAGATTACTGTTAGAACTGTAACCACACACACAGTATAACTATATTATATATTACTGTTAGTATTATAACCTCACACACAGTATAACTATAGTATATATTACTGTTAGTACTATAACCACACACAGTATAACTATATTATAGATTACTGGTAGTTCTATAACCCCACACAGTATAACTATATTATAGATTACTGTTAGAATTATAACCACTCACACAGTATAACTATATTATAGATTACTGTTAGTAATATAACCACACACACAGTATAACTATATCATACATTACTGTTAGTACTATAACCACACAAACAGTATAACTATATTATATGTTACTCTTAGTACTATAACCACACACACAGTATAACTATATTATAGATTATTATTATTAATATTAAAACCTCACAACCAGTATAACTATATTATATATTACTGTTAGTAATATAACCACACACAGTATAACTATATTATATGTTACTGTTAGTACTATAACCACACACAGTATTACTATATTATAGATTACTGTTAACATTATAACCTCACACACAATAAAACTATATTATAGATTATTATTAATATTAAAACCTCACAAACAGTATAACTATATTATATATTACCGTTAGTACTATAACCACACACACAGTTTAACTATATTATATATTACCGTTAGTACTATAACCACACAAACAGTATAACTATATTATATATTACCGTTAGTACTAAAACCACACACACAGTTTAACTATATTATATATCACCGTTAGTACTATAACCACACAAACAGTATAACTATATTATAGATTACTGTTAGTCCTATAACCACACACACAGTAAAACTATATTATATATTACTGTTAGTACTATAACCACACACACAGTAAAACTATATTATAGATTACCGTTAGTACTATAACCTCACACACAATAAAACTATATTATAGATTATTATTAATATTAAAACCTCACAAACAGTATAACTATATTATATATTACCGTTAGTACTATAAGCACACAAACAGTTTAACTATATCATATATTACCGTTAGTACTATAACCACACAAACAGTATAACTATATTATAGATTACTGTTAGTACTATAACCACACACACAGTAAAATTATATTATAGGTTACCGTTAGTATTATAACCACACACACAGTATAACTATATTATAGATTACTGTTAGTACTATAACCACACACACAGTAAAATTATATTATAGATTACCGTTAGTATTATAACAACACACACAGTATAACTATATTATAGATTACCGTTAGTACTATAAGCACACAAACAGTATAACTATATTATAGATTACTGTTAGTACTATAACCACACAAACAGTAAAACTATATTATAGATTACCGTTAGTACTATAACCACACACACAGTATAACTATATTACAGATTACCGTTTGTGCTATAACCATACTAATATGGTTAAGTGAGTCCACTTTATACAATAAACGTAGTAATTTTGTATTTTATAAAGGACACTTTTCACACACTAATACCTATAGCAGCTGGATTTTGATCAGGTGATAATTAACAGTTACATATCAGAACGTACTGCAACACCGTCACAGCTGTCGCTTGGCTTACGTCATTGTTACAACCCAGTGATCATCCATGTCTATCGCTGATCGGGGAAAATGAGGAGGACTGACATACAAGCAAGTGAATCATTCCACACTGTCACCTGCCAATGAATGTCATATGTATATACTGTCCTCATGTAGACGTGTTTACTATGGAATTACGGCACGTTAATTAATTCAAAGGTAAACAAATAAATTCAATTATCTGCCCCTATCCCCCTTTTAGGCTTTCCTGTATACGTAACTTACAAACTATTGGTGAAACATCAATTACAGAAGTATACGTGTTCTCTGTTCACAACAAAAATGATAGACCGACTGACCGTAGTGTTGTCGATTCGAGTCCCGCAGATTGCGATTAATTGTATGACTTTTGAAGTGTCAGTCTCAGTATGTGAGAGGCTAAAGCAAGCTCCAAACTAGTGGAGAGTCTTGGTGAGGCTCTCGTTCTTCATCGTCAATGACTTTGAGCAAGAAAACTTACCATTGTTTCCCAACTCGACCTTTCCAGATTGTATATACTATAGTTAGGGTAATCATTAATATAGTATAGTTTCTTTTTACTGTAGTTTTCTAATTGTATGGCATAATAAACATGCCATTTAAATAATTCAACATCCAGCACACACACACACACGCGCGCGCACATATACGGGAGAATCATCCACCCACCGATTTGAGTAAAGCCATTGTCATACTCTCCTGATTGTGTTGAATATATAGATAGGGTGCTATTTATAATAATTTTGTAAAAATAATAAGGATTAAATAAACTAACGAGTAAAATATATAGTGATGCAAGAGAAATGAATAAATAAATGTAATCCTGAAAACAAATTCATGACAATCTTAACGCTTGACTGAAATAATTAATTCAATCTATTGTTGAAAAGCGATTGCTATATAATAACTATAATTGTTAAACTGGGAAGATAGTGCACGCATTTACAAGTATAGTTACAGCCTAGGCATGCTTATAAGTGCAAGCTCCATAGTGATAGCTGTCTTATACCATGTCGACGTGGTAAAAATCAATCTCTTTATTGTCTGTTGTCAACAATGTCTGTGTCCGTGAACAACTCAACAATGAAATGCTATATATAGGTACATAGGTAACCATCCGTGTAGGTTCTGCACTAGACACCACAACTACCCGTAATAAGAGTTAAAATCTATTTGCCCCGGGTCACTTCCTGAAACGACACCCCCCTTTCCACACGGATCTGTGTTTTGTAACCTTTCGTCTGTGCTGTGTCGTGATAACGTGACTATCCAGTGTGTATAAGAATGCCTTGTATAAATACAGGTTTTTATGGTCCTACGTAAAATGTACCCAAGGTTTCACATGATGGTGAATATCTAGAACATACCAAAACAGAATATTTCGCAATAATGAGTCGATGAATTTTTAAGGCAATGACAGACATGAATGCATCGTGTCAGAACATTAACTCTACTGCAAATAGCCCTTTATCTAAAATACATAATTTACCCGAAAGACAACCACAGCATACCCTATTTCCTAACGTCACCATTACCACCTTACCATATATACCCATCCAATATCCCCAAAACCCAAAAGTCATCATATACCCGAAAGACAATTCTTTATTTACTCTTACCCAAAAGTCATCTAATACTCGAAACACTAACCTTTCTCTTACCAATACCCATTAGTCACCCGATACCCGAATAATACTTCCCAGGACATAGCCGTTCCATTTTCAGTTTCAATGATTATAAAAATGCCATGGATTCTGATTTTGTTTCCTGGTGTCATTAAGCTGACCGGTCTAGATACAAATGTAGAACTTAGTCTGGGACCACTTGTATAAAGCATATCAAAGTTGTGGAAACTCTCAAGTAACATATTATCGATTGGAGACCTTAGGCTTGCATTACAATTGTTTAGCATTGTGTGATATGGTGATATGATTTTATACTACATGACCTCATGATTTTGACTGTTTAGGTGGCTCATGGACTATTTGGTATAACCGACTTCCGGATGATATCGGGGATGACCAAAGCTGGACTACAATAAAAAACGTGAGTACATGTAAAAGCAGATGTTGTTGTCATGGTTATAGTCACCAGATCTTCTCAGATACATACATAACTTTAAGATACTATCTCAATGCAGGAACACTATGAGGATGATAACTTCAGTAAATCAGTCAATATAATCTTAATATTTTCCAATTTTGGCTTGCGTTACTTACTCGCCATAGCCTTTGTAAAGATCGATAAATAAGTCCATAATACCAATGAATTATAGGTCTATAAGCTATATTTATGTACACAACAAGGTCTATGTTCACTTCTGGTGATTTATACATACATATGTACGAGAAATATTGATTACGATACATTTCACGTATTGTTGGTGTGTTGCTGACTGTCCTGATCTGTATATAACCTACCTATTCAGAAGTGTGGAAGGTTATCAAACCTGAACCCTAGTATATTGTTGGTGTGTTGCTGACTGTCCTGATCTGTATATAACCTACCTATTCAGAAGTGTGGAAGAGGTATCAAACCTGAACCCTATTGTATTGTTTGTGTATCTCAACTGTGTAGTCTGCAATGCAACGACTTTGTACACAGGTGTGATCGTGAACCATATATTTAGGACGTAATTGAGACCTGTTAAGAGAAAGATACATATGTATACATATATGATCAGTACAGCCCCAAGACTTGACTAGCTCGTTCACCTCCAACATTACATCACCTCGCCTTTCAGACTGTTTTATAAGTCTGTGTCCAACAACACGCCCGAACCGTACAAGATCTTACCCTGTGCGTCCGATTATATGTCATTTAGTTCAAACAGAATCTTATTAAACGTACATAGGATTTCAGAGAGAAAGAAAAGGGGGCTTAGTGCTAATGTTTATTCTACTCCCAAATCTATGTTATTTAGTGGTCTGCTTGTGTGTAAATTACCATGCATATCAGGATTATACCAAGCTTTTTACAATTTATATGATTTTGCTTATTGTTTTTGTCTGTCTGTACAGCATGGCTACACGGTATGTGGAACAGAAAAACCCGAATTGGCTGAATGCCGTGTCGTTGGATCGGACGAATCATTTACAGAAAGGAATGCAGGGGTTATCGCCCCTGATTATCTGTCCGAACCTTGCACGAAGGATGGACTGGTGTGCTATAACTACAATGCCAATAACAGGCGCTGCCACGACTATGAGGTCCGCTTCTTCTGTCCATACACAGGTAAATATTGATTTCCAGAAACGTTCTACAATTTGTTTAATATTTTTTGCTGGGTTTGAAATAATTCTGCACCCATTCAGTAAGAGACAGCTAGATACCACGATACATATACCAATTTGAATTGTCCTACCCATGCTATGTAGGTAAGCTAAGGCTTCTTTGTTATTCATGTATAACATGTATGATCCATATCAATATTTTTACACAGATACAGATGACAAAGAGGAAAGATCTGCCGATTACGGACTCGTGGCACTAGCGGCTGGGTTATCTGTACTTATCCCCCTTCTCTGTGTCGTCGTTCTTCAATGTATACGTCAAGTCCGAGTAAAGAGAGCGCTTCGTGCAAGAAGTCAGGCAGCACGTGATCACTTTAGTAACCTGAGATCTGAGCCTGTAGACCCGACCACTTTCACATCGCCCCCTACGTACGAATCTTTGTTTAGTAACGGACAAAGTTTTCCTACGGGAACGGGCAGGGATGCTTTGCTACAAAGTGAGACAACTAACTCTTCTTCCGTAGATTTATCCCACGTGAATGAGGGATTCTCACATGATGATTCTACACAAACTGGTATTTACCAAATATCAACAGGAAGTGTCTTACCAACAGATACCGGAAGTCGGTTGACAAATCTGCAACGATTTCCTGGCATGCATTTGTCAATCGAGGATATTATCTTATTAAACAGTGGTAGCCAGAGAACGCCTCCGCCCGCGTACAATGACGCAATGGTCATTGTAGGTCCTATTCCGCCAAAATATTCTGATGTTCAAAAAGAACAAGTAACTCCAGAAACCTAACGTCCCAAATGTCTCATCAAATTTCGAATGGACATAGTTTCTTGATTTTAGTAGTTCGTATCTCACAGTGCCGTACGAAACTCGGATAAACACTGATGTGGCTAGAATATGGTTATTATATCCGTGAAGACCTCATACATATGCAATAGCTATTGACGTTTGTTTATAACGCCGCCATAGCATTCAGTGTTCTGGTATAAAAGGATAAATAGCCACTGGTATGTTATGAATCATTGAACATTTAATTACTATGTTGCTATGCTACACGCCCATTGTCTCGTTAAGCCTTATTGTCACCTATGAGGAAAAGAACTGTTTCCCATAGACTAATGACATAATTGTCTTTTAAAGTAAAATTACATTATTCATTCTTTAAAGTCGTCTACATTTATATGAAGATTTTTTTCTGTGTATTACTCCAAAGAAATTATTTCGGATCCCAATACATATCTTATTTATTTATTTTCGGTAATCTTAAAAATTAGCAAGGAAGGAAATATTATCTTCGTCATTAAGCTCACAGCGTTTGATAACTGAGTCCCGATGACAACAAAGATGACGACAACGATGTTAACAAAGATGACGACAACGATGTTAACAAAGATGACAACAAAGATGTTAACAAAGATGACAACAACGATAACAAAGATGACAACAACGATGTTAACAAAGATTACAACAACGATGTTAACAAAGATGACGTCAACGATGTTAACAAAGATGACAACAACGATGACAACGATGACAACAAAGATGTTAACAAAGATGACAACAACGATGTCAACAAAGATGACAACAACGATGACAACGATGACAACAAAGATGTTAACAAAGATGACAACAACGATGACAAAGATGACGACAACGATGTTAACAATGATGACAACAACGATGTTAACAAAGATTACAACAACGATGTTAACAAAGAGGACAACAACGATGACAACGATGACGACAACGATGTTAACAAAGATTACAACAACGATGTTAACAAAGATGACGTCAACGATGTTAACAAAGATGACAACAACGATCACAACAAAGATGACAACAACGATGTTAACAAAGATGACAACAACGATGACAACGATGACAACAAAGATGTTAACAAAGATGACGACAACGATGCTAACAAAGATGACGACAACGATGTTCACAAAGATGACGACAACGATGTTAACAAAGAGGACGACAACGATGTTAACAAAGATGACAACAAAGATGACAACGATGACACCAACGATGTTAACAAAGATGACAACAACTATGGTAACAAAGATGACGACAACGATGTTAACAATGATGACGACAACGATGTTAACAAAGATGGCGACAACGATGTTAACAAAGATGACGACAACTATGTTAACAAAGATGACGACAACGATGTGAACAAAGATGACGGCAACGATGTTAACAAAGATGACAACAACGATCACAACAAAGATGACAACAACGATGTTAACAAAGATGACAACAAAGATGACAACAAAGATGTTAACAAAGATGCACATTTAAATGAGACGCTCGGTATCGACCCGGGTGTGGAGAATGCATCTCCTACATTAATGGGCGTTTCAATAGGGTTAGTGTCCTGCTGGATCTTTTTTCCTGTTTATGATGAGGCTGTACCTTTGCGATGAGGAAATCCGGTTATTATTACGCCTACTTTTACAATATTAACATAATTATCAATGTGTTTTACAGTGAATGAGTATCTGATATCCAGGTTTGTTTTATACTTGGTGAGCAATGTCAAAATTTCAAAATTTACTACACCATCCCTTTCGGACGTTTACATTCAAGTGGATCACTAAATCAGCGGCTTATATTGAAGTTGCTTCAGCGTTTCGATGCCTTGGTACTTCTTCGTATCCCTCATGTATTGGTATTCATTTACACTCGATACAAACTGATCGATTTAACACTCGATAAAGGTAATATGTATTTTAGAATCTCGCTATAAGAAGGAAACAACTCTAGAAATGATCATAGCAGTTGCTGACTATTTATTTATTACCCATACATTCTGTTATATGTTATTCCTATATCGTCGAAATCCCATTCTATGCCATAATATATATTATCTACTAGTTTTTTTTTTACACTTTTACAATTACTTGTTTATTGTCTGTGAACAGTAATGCAATATATAACGTGTATTTATTAAAACGTGACACCAGGATGTGATGTTACTTCGTTGACGGGGTGTTTTGATGAAAGAAAGAGATTATAAATTATGTTTCGGTGATTCATGACATATCATAAAATATTTATAAAATATGCGTCCGAACATAGAATTAATGATGTGAAATTGTATGTATTTAGCGTTGTGAATATTTTTTATATTGATCAGAATAATACGCGAGAAAAAAAGGGGCGTGTTTTACTCCTGAACGAACATGTGTACTTAACCTGAGAGGCCATAATATCACTACTGTAAATCGTTATTGCTTCGCGTGCTACATATTCACCCCTGTTTCTTCTTCAAGTGCTTTCACTTTCAATTTTAAGATAAACTTTAACGTCATTCTGACTCTGGGTTGAATTTGGCTTCCTATTTAAGGGGAGCAGAAAGGTTACAAATAGAACGGGGGTGTAGGTCATTCTCATAAATGGATTGGAAAGCTATTCATTTTTAAATGTTCCACACACTTTGTTTGTCATGTATAGATGTATGTGCTGCGTGCGACCCTACTGTCTTAATTAACATTTAAGTTAATATCATTATCATTCTTTTATTTATTAGTTTATATTTTCTCAAAATTCAAAAATGACAAATAAATGTTGTGTTATTCACTTCAAAATCACAAAAGTTTCATAGAAGTGGCCATTTTAAGTTATTTTGTGTTAGTGTTCCAGTTGTAAGATTGTGAAGTTTGTTTGGACTAGTTGGTATCATATTAATGTTTTAAATGTAGGATCACGTGAGTTCATTACATTGTGAATTAGTTGTACATTGTAAATTTTCAACATTTAGAACAAACTTCCATTTAAATTCTATATCTCATTGACTATTTTCAATTTCAAGTCACTTAATGTGAATGATCCAGTACACGTGGTGTATGACGTCATTGTATTATTCTGTTGTGTGTGACGGTGCTACCTGTGTATATATGTGTATGTGTGTGTGTGTCTGGATGTGTACCCACCTACCTGTGAGAGGTAAGGTGCGGCATGGTTTATAACTGTGGTGTGTAATAAATATATTGAAAACAATATTTGTCATTTGTATACTATTTATTGCTTTAAGTTCTCTTATCCAGAACAGACTAGTTCGGCAAATACATATTTGCGTACTCGAGTTTTTATTTTCTATATAAATTTGGAGAGGACAGAGCACATGACTAAGCACAACCCACCTTATCATTTGTCCAAAGGATAGTTTGTGTACAAAGTATATAGTGTCGTGGAGTATATCAAAATTCGTCTGCGACTGAAAATTAAATAAAAGTTTTCGAGCAAATACTGCACATCTTATAAATAAACATTCTCTAAAAACACATATGCACTATGGCAAATAACTCCTTTCACTTATTGTATGACGTGTCTATTGATACAGACACAAGTTTATTGTTATAATCTCACGGAACAATCATTTAGAAAGAGACTTTAATTCAAATAATATGCTTGCTAACGAGCACACCGGGTGCGGTTTTCTTCTGAGTAAAATTATATTTATGTAACATAAAACTATACGAGGAAAACGCTAACGGGAAGAGTGATTAATGTGGACGCCGAAGTGTGTTAAGATCGTATCCAGTTTTCTGCTATTCGATATAGGTATCTGTCAATGGCAAGGAGCTTATATTATATAATTACCTATAAAAGAAAACACGTCAAATAGCGTCAACGGGCTCAAACTAAAACGAGCACAAATATACATATATTACCAAAACACAATAACATGCAAAGAATGGTTTATTTATTTATTTATGGAAGAATCACAGAACAAATAAATTTGATATAAACGGTAAACAGATAATGGATAAATTATTCTCTGATAAACCGATATATCTGACATGGTCGAAGGATATGTAAAGGTATACACGTACTAATATTACCTAACAAGTAAAAATTAGCACTTACTAATCAACCTATACACCCACCCTTACCCTACTTTTATAATCCCACCCCCACTTCTATCACCCAAACTCCACCCCTACCCCAAATTCGATCACCTCCACCTCCACCCCCACCCCCCACTTTCACCCCACTCCATCTTCACTTTCATCACCCAATCTCCACCCCCATTCCCAGCCCACCCCTAGCCCCAATTTGATCTCCCCACTTCCACCCCCATCTCCCCTTACCCCCCATTATATCACCCAACCTCCACCACCACCTTAACCCTACCCCACTTCCATCTCCCCATCTCCACCCCTTCCCCACCTCCACCACTACCACCACATTCACCCTTCCCCACCTCCACCACTACCACCACATTCACCCTACCCCACCTCCACCACAACCCTTACCCTTCCCCACTTCCATCTCCCCATCTCCACCCCTACCCCACCTCCACTTCCACCTCAATCACCACTTCCATCTCCCCACCTCCAACCCCATTCCAACCCCTCCCTACCCCCTCTTCCTCTTCCATCACCCAATCTCCATCCCTATCCCCAATTCTATCACCCCACCGCCATCCCCAACCAACCCCCACTTCCACAACCCCATCACCAACCCCATTCCGACCCCCTACCTACCCCAACTTCTATCACCCAGCCGCAACCCCCATTCCCATCCACACTTACATAACCCCATCCGAACTTCCATCTATCATCCCCACCCTCTGCATTACTTAGTGACTTGCAAAACGTACACAAAATATAATCAAATGAACCAAATCTTTAGTGCAATATTCGTCCCTTTAGACTCAGGAACTGAGGAAGGCGGCTCGCAATATTTGTAGTGTGAACCATATTCCATAACTCTTGTTTGGATACAAAATGCAATCCTGTTAGATGTAAACAGTCAACTAAATAGATTAATTATATTTATCAGGTGACACATCGACGATTACACAATTCCGTGTTAAACTGTTCTGGACTGATGGGCGTATCTTTCGAAGTCTCCCATTGATCGACAAAACTGCCAAGAAATGTTTGAAACCCTGAAAAGTCTCTCGAATAGCAGTTAGTTTTTACTTTTTCATGTTAACTCCGAAAGTAGGATAGTTCAAACATCATTTTACTATTTTAGAACAGAAAATTTCTGATCATTTAATGAAAATTGCAAGATTAATATCAACGTTTGACGATGCGCCGTAAATAAAAAAAAACACGTTTGAAGCTGACAAATAGCTGAACTAACTGAACTGCAAATAGCCCTCGGATAGGTGACCATCAAAATCAGAATCAAATCAAAGCCTGGGCAAACAAAGGCCATATAAAGGTAAGAGGTTTTATGATGTCAGTACGTAATGGCAATGTGTGTTAAAAAAACATAACACATTTAGATAACTTGTTTGTTACATAAATAATTAATTTGATGCGATCTGGCAAGTCTGACTTACTTATGTGTTATAAAGTCTCAAACGTCTTTGATGCATGACCACAACATCGGTTATGGCTGCGATGGAACAGCTTGATAAAAAGCTAGATGATTTTGTTTGTTCCTTTTTTTATTTGGAAGAACATTGCATCTAAACATATCTCGGTAAAGATGTTAACATTTTAACAATACTGGTTCTTCGATCAGTCATGTATTTTAATCTAAAAAATACTGAACTCTTGAGTATCGTATTGGAATAAAAACATATCGGTACTATGATGTGTAACAAGATCATACATTATATTTATCTAAACAGACAACAGGAATAAGATCATGTCAAATTACAGTTTTATTCACGAAATACATGCTGACGATTAACCAATGATTAACATATGTTTTTTGATCTGTGAACATTGGTTGACATATATTTATGATCTGTGAACAATGGTTAACATATGTTTATGATCTGTGAACATTGGTTAACACTTCAATCGGAAACATCGTGTATACAGTTTAGCATACTAGCAAAACTGGGTTGTGTAACACATTTCGATCCAAACTTTTCAGGTGAATGCATGTTGTGCCTCATGAACGGTTTAATTATCATGTCCGACATCGATCTAATTTAATGTACAAATTTCATACGACACACATATAACCATCATCGATATCCAGCGGTTCTGCGCTCAATGTTTGTAATTTCGCAACACCCTTAGGGAAGGCTCTGCATACCGCCTTGCGGATTATGTATGCAATTGCGCGACAGCGTAACGGTAAAATTTGCCAGCTTTGGTTTAACGGTAGCTCTTCTGTCATTGTTAAAGGACAGGTAACAACCAGGGATGGTATTAATGCATCTAAAAAAATGGCTTATATTTTGGTAGGACATTTTCCAGAGGTACAGTAAAGATACACATGTTGGAAGTAAAACCATTTGGTTGTGAAGATTACATGCTTCTTTTTGAAACATTCTTTATATACTCACTTCGCTCCAATCAGTTTATGGTGATAATGTGTAAGAGACATGTATGTCCAAAGAATAAGAAGTTGTTCCAGGCGAATGCATGTTAAAACATATCTAAATATGCACAAGAAGTTGTGTGGGACGTTTAAATAAGTGTTAACTTCAAACATGTACTTTCAATTGCCATTTATAAAGTCAGTTTCTTTCTAAGCAAAAAGGATGAAAATTATCAATATGTGATGAATATAAATGTGAATTATTTACAATGAAACAGTCATATGTCTTTATTTTTTCGCCATCAGTATGAATGATTCTGAACTTACTGTTCAAAGGAGGGAAAAACCACAGAAAGATATTGATACACAATGGGAGGTAACTCAACTAGCACTGTGTTTGTGAACTCTACATATATCAACTCTATGTATGTACAAGACAGAAACAGTATCCACCAAAACTATCCGGTAACAGGTGATGAAACTTTACGTTTAGAGCTATGATCAATTAATGCAATAAAGACAGTTGAGCAAATTGTTCTCATCATTAAGTAGTCACGTGCTCGGGCCACATTTGTAAGAGTGGTTTGGTTTTGGTTTGGATTTATTTTGTGGAAGGTCCTATTAACAGCTTAGGTCATTTAAGAACGTGGCTCCGTGTGTGTTGTTTATGCGTGCATGTATGTATTCTGTGTTGGGGGCAAGGTATGTTGGTGTATTTACCTCCTTGTGATAGCGCGGATCTGATGTCAACGTTATAGCGCTATTTCACTGAAATACCATACCGAAGTCACCCTGCACAGCATTCCGCCTGGTGACATTATACATTTGTAAAACAGACACACAAACACGGGACGTCTCGTGATGTGCAAAATTTGATTGGGCGTATATTCATTGAGACGCAATGAAAAGTATTTCATTGCAATTTGTACCCTTAATTATGTATCTGCGAAAATTTAGATTAATTTACGCGAAAGCGTATAACCCATTGTTCGAGAGATTCAAAGTGAGCATGCAAATGTTAGCAACCGTTAAGTCGTTCCAGGTAGCTGTATTTCGGTTTGATAAGCTCGAGACCAAAATATGTCTGTTCGGGTATTCTAGGATAAACTCCGTTAGATGATTGGTCAGGGATTTTGACGTAAATGATGTCGTCACAGTCCAGTTCAAACATGCCCATGTGATTGATGAAGTCGACCGGGTATCGCGTTCCAGGATAATGGGCGATGTTAGGATAAGCACTGCCTCTGTAAATGAATGGAAGAAAATAAACGTTACTCAATAATGAGAAATGTTTATGAATTATTGATACTATTAAATATTCCTGGAAAGCGATTTTGCATTACTCTTTCGAAAAAGTTTGTCCAACTATCTTTCCAACATCATATTCCATGTTGATATCGTTCTGAATAAGAGAAAATTATAACTCTAATACATCTAAATAGTGTCGATGATGTCACTGACTCTGTCATCAATACAACTTATAATAATGTAACTATTTTGAAACAATCCCACTCTGAATGAACCGTTGATAATGTAATTATACACACCAGAATACCAACAGGAAAGGAAAACAAGCAAATGAAACCGAGATACAAAGGGGAAGGAGGCAAATGAAACCGAGATACAAAGGGGAAGGAGGAAAATGAAGCCGAGATACAAAGGGGAAGGAGGAAAATGAAACCGAGATACAAAGGGGAAGGAAGAAAATGAAACCGAGATACAAAGGGGAAGGAGGCAAATGAAGCCGCGATACAAAGGGTAAGGAGGCAAATGAAGCCGAGATACAAAGGGAAAGGAGGCAAATGAAACCGAGATACAAAGGAGAAGGAGGCAAATGAAGCCGCGATACAAAGGGTAAGGAGGCAAATGAAGCCGAGATACAAAGGGAAAGGAGGCAAATGAAACCGAGATACAAAGGGAAAGGAGGCAAATGAAACCGAGATACAAAGGGGAAGGAAGAAAATGAAACCGAGATACAAAGGGGAAGGAAGAAAATGAAACCGAGATACAAAGGGGAAGGAAGAAAATGAAACCGAGATACAAAGGGGAAGGAGGCAAATTAAGCCGAGATACAAAGGGGAAGGAGACAAATGAAACCGAGATACAAAGGGGAAGGAGGCAAATGAAAACTTCATCAATACTATGATTCAGAGAGTCATTAAACATACGGTATCATTTTACTGGATTTCTTTTTTCTATCTCAAATATTGAGAAAACAAATTAGACATATTCCCGCTCTATTTTTGAAAAGTGCCACATTTCGTCATCTTCCTTAATCAAATATTGTTTGAATAAGACAAAACTAACTCATTGCTTTGGGTACCAATGACATTTATTCATAAAACGTATTTCAAAAATTGTTTTAGTTTGAAGTGGAAAAAAACCGCATGTTACAGTGAGTTAGCATGTCTACCTAACATAGTGTAAAGACTTGTTTGTCTACCTAACATAGTGTAAACACTTGTTGGTGTATACTCACCGACCATCCTGGGTGACATAACTTCTCAGAAGAACGTTGGATGGTAGCCCTGGTTTCTTTCGTACAGTCTCCAATCCGTAGGCAGGATCATAACTGTATTTACAAAAGAAAATTATTTCATCGACTTGGACAGTTTTACAAAAAATGAACACCTACGCCATATACTTTCTGACTTTATAAGGTTAAGTGTTGTGACTGCATCTATCCGGAATATAGACAAGTGCCATGTTGGCCATCGTTCATTGATTTCTTTCGTATTAGACAAGTATAATTACATTGGTGGATTACATACTTTGTGAATGGGCCTCTGACAACAACTTGGCTGTAGATGAGGTACATCCCTGGATTGGTGATATTGACGCCCAATATCATATTACTGTCCTGCATATCGTTCACATAGCGAAAGGACGGGTTCGGGTAGTTCCGGTCCTGGTGTTCCCATCGGAAAATATTTGTTCTTTCTACAATATAAGTTAACAACTTCTGATGTAGGTTTCACTGCATGTTTCAATGTAACAAACATACGCCTGTGATTCTGCGTCACTATAATCTAAATACATGATTTAAGTTTCCATTTCATATGAGATTGATGACACGAATCTTTTCTTTTGTTTTTTGTTCTCGAGACGCTGGCGCGATGCGATCAAATATCGTGATACGTAGAAGTTCAAATGAATAGAAATAGAAATAAAGATTGTGTTTACCACGTCGCAAACTCACAGATATTTGAAAAACAACATTTTCTTACACTGACGTGGAATCTCGGTATGATATACATTTTTACGTCAACTCTTTCTTTTTTGTTCGTCACAATTCAATAGGAAATATGAGGCATCATAAATTGTGACATCACGATTAAAACCTACAGCCAATCACAGTTCGAATAAATGTTATTGAACCTGTGGCCATACCACTATATAAGTAATGGCTACAGTATCATTACACAAACAAGACTAAAGGTTAGTTATTCGACCAACATAAGCTCAGAATTATCATTTGACCATGAAAGATTTCGAGTAACCCGGACATAATTATGACCTTAGTATAGTTGTTTGAATCTTCCTGATTTTGTAAATATTGACTGACCTTCGTAGCGTTACTGTACATTTAGCTTAATTGATATCATCTGTATAGCCTGACATATGTTTCTACCATATACTAACGCTTGTAATAGCGTAACCCCATATCCAGGTTCTCAACATTTGATTTCATCACACATTGTGTCTACAAAATATCTATGTTTGTCTCAGAATCTATATAGCTTATTACACAGTTTCTTGTTTGACATAATAATACGAATGTTATCGAGCAGTGCTTTACATTTAGATACGAACCAAACTCTGTAAATATTGCATTCTGCACAAATCCGTTGGTAGTAGACCCCCTCAAATGTATGGCAGGTCGGCTGAGGATCCCTACAAAACATTTATCACAGTTATTCCACTTGAACAAGACAATTGAACACAGAAAATAGAGAAATTGAAATGCTTTCCACATAAAGCATGGCTGTTTGATTTCTAAGTGTTATATTTAAGGAAATTACTGTTGTATTATATCCAGAATGATAAGGCGATGTCAAATGACATAATCCTACAACAGTGTAACATGTAGCGTTTGAACACAAAAAAAAACATCACAAGGTAACAAAGAAAAAATAATTTAATGATGATTAATAAACGGATTTGTATAAAAGCAATATTTCAGACATTTGTTTACCGTATTTATAATGCAGAAAGGCAGCACAAAGAACATCATTGTACCACACTTCATTAGGGTGGCAATATATTAAGACAGGGGACAGTACGTTATTAGAGGAATAATACATTATTATGGATACAGTACATTGTTAGGGATACAATTAATTATTAGAGGAATAATACATTCTTATGGATACAGTACATTGTTAGGGGTACAATTAATTATTAGAGGTATAATACAATCTTTTGGCTACAGTACATTGTTAGGGGTACAATTAATTATTAGAGGTATAATACATTCCTATGGCTACAGTACATTGTTAGGTGTACAATTAATTATTAGAGGTATAATACATTCTTATGGCTACAGTACATTGTTATGGGTACTATTAATTATTAGAGGTATAATACATTTCTATGGATACAGTACATTGTTAGGTGTACAATTAATTATTAGAGGTATAATACATTCTTATGGATACAGTACATTGTTAGGGGTACAATTAATTATTAGAGGTATAATACATTCTTATGGATACAGTACATTGTTAGGAGTACTATTAATTATTAGAGGTATAATACATTCTTATGGATACAGTACATTGTTAGGGGTACAATTAATTATTAGACGTATAATACATTTTCTATGGCTACAGTACCTTGTTAGGGGTACAATTAATTATTAGAGGTAGGAGTACTATTAATTAATTGTACCCCTACCAATGTACTGTATCCATAGAAAATGTATTATACATCTAATAATTGAGTGTACTCCTAACAATGTACTCTATCCATAATACATTCTTATGGATAAAGTACATTGTTAGGGGTGCAATTAATTATTAGAGGTAGGAGTACTATTAATTAATTGTACCCCTAAAAATGTACTGTATCCATAAGAATGTCTTATACCTCTAATAATTATTGTACCCCTAACAATGGACTGGATCCATAAGAATGTATTACACCTCTAATAATTAATTTTACACCTAACAATGTACTGTAGTAATAAGAATGTATTATTCCTCTAATAATTGATTGTACCCCTAACAATTTACTGTATCCATAAGAATGTATTATCCCTCTAATAATTAATTTTACCCCTAACAATTTACTGTATCCATAAGAATGTCTTATACCTCTAATAATTAATTGCACCCCTAACAATGTACTTTATCCATAAGAATGTATTAGAGGTATAATACATTCTTATGGATAGAGTACATTGTTAGGAGTACACTTAATTATTAGATGTATAATACATTCTTATGGCTACAGTACATTGTTAGGGGTACAATTAATTATTAGAGGTATAATACATTCCTATGACTACAGTACATTGTTAGGGGTACACTTAATTATTAGATGTATAATACATTCTTATGACTACAGTACATTGTTAGGGGTACAATTAATTATTAGATGTATAATACATTCTTATGGCTACAGTACATTGTTAGGGGGACAATTAATTATTAGAGGTATAATACATTCCTATGGCTACAGTACATTGTTAGGGGTACAATCAATTATTAGAGGAATAATACATTCTTATGACTACAGTACATTGTTAGGGGTAAAATTAATTATTAGAGGTATAATACATTCTTATGGCTACAGTACATTGTTAGGGGGACAATTAATTATTAGAGGTATAATACATTCCTATGGCTGCAGTACATTGTTAGGGGTACAATTAATTATTAGATGTATAATACCTTCTTATGGCTACAGGACATTGTTAGGGGTACAATTAATTATTAGAGGTATAATACATTATTATGGATACAGTACCTTGTTAGGGGTACACTTAATTATTAGAGGTATAATACATTCCTATGGCTACAGTACATTGTTAGGGATACAATTAATTATTAGAGGTATAATACATTCCTATGGCTGCAGTACATTGTTAGGGGTACAATTAATTATTAGAGGTATGATACATTCTTATAAATTATTAGAGGAATAATACATTCCTATCGCTGCAGTACATTGTTAGGGGTTCAATTAATTATTAGACGTATAATAATTAATTGTACCCATAACAATGTACTGTATCAATAAGAATGTATTACACCTCTAATAATTAAGGGTATCCCTAACAATGTACTTTATCTATAAGGATGTATTATCCCTCTAATAATTAATAGTACCCATAACAATGTACTGTATCAATAAGAATGTATTACACCTCAAATAATTAATTGTCCCCGTAACAAGGTACTGTATCCATTATACCTCTAATAATAAAGTGTACCCCTAACAATTTACTGTATCCATAAGGATGTATTACACCTCTAATAATTAATAGTACCCATAACAATGTACTGTAGCCAAAAGATTGTATTATACCTCTAACAATTAAGTGTACCCCTAGCAAGGTTCTGTATCCATAATAATGGATTATACCTCTAATACATTATTATGGATACAGAACCTTGCTAGGGGTACACTTAATTAATAGAGGTAAAATACATTCCTATGGCTGCAGTGCATTGTTAGGGGTACAGTTAATTATTAGAGGTGTAATACATTCTTATGGCTACCGTACATTGTTAGGGGTACACTTAATTAATAGAGGTAAAATACATTCCTATGGCTGCAGTGCATTGTTAGGGGTACCATTAATTATTAGAGGCATAATACATTCTTATTGATACAGTACATTGTTAGGGGTACAATTAATTATTAGAGGTATGATACATTCTTATGGCTACAGTACCTTGTTAGGGGTACAATTAATTATTAGACGTATAATACATTCCTATGGCTACAGTACATTGTTAGGGGTACACTTAATTATTAGAGGTATAATACATTCCTATGGCTACAGTACATTGTTAGGGGTACAATTAATTATTAGAGATATAATATATTGTTATGGATACAGTACATTGTTAGGGGTAAAATTAATTATTAGAGGTATAATACATTCTTATGGGTACAGTACATTGTTAGGGGTACAATTAATTATTAGAGGCATAATACATTCTTATGGATACAGTACATTGTTAGGGGTACAATTAATTATTAGAGGCATAATACATTCTTATGGATACAGTACATTGTTAGGGGTACACTTAATTATTAGAGGTATAATACATTCCTATGGCTACAGTACCTTGATAGGGGTACAATAAATTATTAGAGGAATAATACATTCTTATGGCTACAGTACCTTATTGGGGATACAATTAATTATTAGAGGTATAATACATTCTTATGGATACAGTACATTGTTAGGGGTACAATTAATTATTAGAGGAATAATAAATTCTTATGGATACAGTACATTGTTAGGGGGACTATTAATTATTAGAGGTATAATACATTCTTATGGATACAGTGCATTGTTAGGGGTACAATTAATTATTAGACGTATAATACATTCCTATGGCTACAGTACATTGTTAGGGGTACACTTAATTATTAGAGGTATAATACATTCCTATGGCTACAGTACATTGTTAGGGGTACAATAATTATTAGAGGTATAATACATTCTTATGGATAAAGTAAATTGTTAGGAGTACAATTAATTATTAGATGTATAATACATTCCTATGGCTACAGTACATTGTTAGGGGTACAATAATTATTAGAGGTATAATACATTCTTATGGATAAAGTAAATTGTTAGGAGTACAATTAATTATTAGATGTATAATACATTCCTATGGCTACAGTACATTGTTAGGGGTACACTTAATTATTAGAGGTATAATACATTCTTATGGTTACAGTACATTGTTAGGGGTACAATTAGTTATTAGAAGTATAATACATTATTGTGGCTACAGTACCTTGTTAGGGGTACAATTAATTATTAGAAGTATAATACATTCTTATGGCTACAGTACATTGTTAGGGGTACAATTAATTATTAGAGGAATAATACATTCTTATGGATACAGTACATTGTTAGGGGTACTATTAATTATTAGAGGTATAATACATTCTTATGGCTACAGTACATTGTTAGGGGTACTATTAATTATTAGAGGTATAATACATTCTTATGGATACAGTACATTGTTAGGGGTTCTATTAATTATTAGAGGTATAATACATTCTTATGGCTACAGTACATTGTTAGGGACACAATTAATTATTAGAGGTATAATACATTCTTAAGCATACAGTACATTGTTAGGGGTGCAATTAATTATTAGAGGTATAATACATTATTGTGGCTACAGTACCTTGTTAGGGGTACAATTAATTTTTAGAAGTATAATACATTCTTATGGCTACAGTACATTGTTAGGGGCACAATTAATTATTAGAGGTATAATACATTCTTATTGATACAGTACATTGTTAGGTGTACAATTAATTATTAGGCGTACAGCACGGTATAAAAGAAAAAATATTTATCACTTACGCTCAATGGCATCCCGATTTTTTTCCGTGTTTCCTGAATAGAAATAAAAGAAATTGGTTTATTATAACTTAACATAACACATCTTTTTCTCCCACACCTGACAGATTTANTTTTGCCGGTGCTAGATTTATCTGTCTCCGCCCTAGGGTTGAGACGGGGGGATTCCCCTATTCATAACAATGGCATGACGTCACTTCAACAATACAATGACGTCACGTCAACAATCCATCAACAAATTGCCTGTATGTGTTTTGGGTCCATGTTTACCTTTATTTCACATTAAAATACTGTTAGATATGGGAGAAAAATAATCAATCGCTACTGGTTGTGTAAGATAGAGAAATCTCAACCCGAGGACTAAGATTTTGTGTCCAGAACGAGGCAAGCCTCGTTCTGGACAAAAAATCTTAGTCCTCGGGTTGAGATTTCTCTATCTTACACAACCAGTAGCGATAGATTCTATTAATCTTCGTGTATACTGCCAGCTTATCTCCCTGTTTAGTGGGACAGAATATTTTTCATTTCAAATTAATGTTATTGTATTTAAAACACAATTTGGATTAGGCACAGGCATTACCTAATAAGCCCTTTCCAGAAGAAAATACATACATTTTTTACATTTAGATATACATCTATATATAGAGAGAAAGAGTATCATAGAGAAGATGTAGTATATGTTCAAATTAATAGGAGAATACTAGAACCATTTAATACATGTTCACAGAAAATAATAACTAGAATATCATAGATTTTAACATTTCAATTACTATAGTCTATTTACTTCAAATAGTTCCAAAGCCTAGTGTTTGGTTGGAGGCACTTCAAAGTCACTGTCGCCATACACAGTGCCATCCTTCCCAATTACATGAGAGTTATGGTTATAAAATAGCAAATACAAACACATTGTAAGATAATAGTTAGTTTAGTTTAAGTTAAAATCTTTCAGATTTTTCAATATACTCAAGAACACATGAGAGAATGAATATATTTGATTCATACCACCCTTAGTGAAAATATTAGTATTTAACATGATGTTATCAATTTCGTTACAATTAGATAATGCATAGAATAAATCATGTCTTTCGTCAATATATTTGAGGCAATTGAGAAAGAAGTGATTTGCATCTTAAATGATATAACCACATTCACACTTAGGGTTATCTGTAAGATATAACTATGATTTTAACTATCTGACTGTATTCCATAGTTGATATACTGCCAGCTTATCTCCCTGTTTAATGGGACAGGATCTACATTTATACTGTCAGCTTATCTCCCTGTTTAATGGGGCAGAATCTACATTTATACTGCCAGCTTATCTCCCTGTTTAATGAGACAGAATGTACATTTATACTACCAGCTTATCTCCCTGTTTAATGAGACAGAATCTGCATGTATACTGCCAGCTTATCTTCCTGTTTAATGGGTCAGAATGTACATTTATACTGCCAGCTTATCTCTCTGTTTAATGGGTCAGAATCCTCATGTATACTGCCAGCTTATCTCCCTGTTTAATGGGACAGAATGTACATTTATACTGCCAGCTTATCTCCCTGTTTAATGGGACAGAATGTATATTAATACTGCCAGCTTATCTCCCTGTTTAATGGTACAGAATGTACATTTATACTGCCAGCTTATCTCCCTGTTTAATGGGACAGAATCTACATTTAAACTGTTAGCTTATCTCCATGTTTAATGGGACAGAATGTACATTTATACTGTCAGCTTATCTCCTTGTTTAATGGGACAGAATGTACATTTATACTGTCAGCTTATTTCCATGTTAAATGGGACAGAATCTTCATTTATACTGCCAGCTTATCTCCCTGTTTAATGGAACAGAATGTATATTTATACAGTCAGCTTATCTCCCTGTTTAATGGGACAGAATGTACATTTATACTGCCAGCTTATCTCCCTGTTTAATGGGACAGAATGTACATTAATACTGCCAGCTTATCTCTCTGTTTAATGGTACAGAATGTACATTTATACTGCCAGCTTATCTCCCTGTTTAATGGGACAGAATATACATTTATACTGCCAGCTTATCGCCCTGTTTAATAGGACAGAATCTACATTTATACTGTTAGCTTATCTCCATGTTTAATGGGACAGAATGTACATTTATACTGTCAGCTTATCTCTCTGTTTAATGGTACAGAATGTACATTTATACTGTCAGCTCATCTCCCTGTTTAATGGGACAGAATGTACATTTATACTGCCAGCTTATCTCCCTGTTTAATGGGACAGAATCTACATTTATACTGCCAGCTTATCGCCCTGTTTAATGGGACAGAATGTACATGTATACTGTCAGCTTATCTCCCTGTTTAATGGGACAGAATGTACATTTATACTGCCAGCTTATCTCCCTGTTTAATGGGACATAATCTACATGTATACTGCCAGCTTATCTCCCTGTGTAATGGGACAGAATCTACATTTATGTTATGGTGAGAATAAACATAAAATAGGCTTCCAATTTGGATAGTTGAAGTAATTGCAACTTACTTTCAAGCAGGTTTAAAACTGAAAAAGGAGGGAAAACAAGATATATTAGGATAAATGCCAATTAATAGTTGTAAGATATTTCTGCTACAGTAATTATTATCTCTAACGAGGAGGTGAATTGGTGAATATCAGGTATTAAAAGTCAATAATTGTGTAGTTTACAATATAATTAAATCGAGTTAATCTGTTACATCACTGACTTAACTGTCTGATTTCATTTAGAAGGTAATGCGATTCTGTAGAAAACATTCTACTTACTCTCTCTCCTCCGTCTCCGGACCTGGAAATTAAAACATTGTGTTATTTTTAATGTCCAAATTTGAATTAAACATATGGTCTGAATTCAGTATCATATTTTTTCAAAAGTGACAAACTGACATCTTCTCTCGTTGTCATGAACCCGATCTCATTTTCAAACTGAAATTCAGTGATCAAGACCATTTCATTTTGAAGTGAGGAGAAATGACATTAATTCAATTAGTTCGGGAAACATTGAGAAAACGTGAAGTCAATACCGTTTGAATTTCAACGATTTACAAGAAACTTATTTAGGCACCACATCAATGCCTGAGCGTGAGAACGGTTTCAATACAAGCCATGACAAAACTGCATTCTGTTTCTCAACTTTGCTAATGTCGCTTTCATTGTAAATAAAGCGTAGTTATAGATCATGAATTGTTTTGTCCTTTATTGACTTTGTTCATAGAAAAAACATAGGCGATGGATTTTGGCATGAAGGGAGAGAACAGAAATATTTACTTACACAAAACATTTTTAAAACGTTTTTAGGATCTGACCTTCTCGTTCGAAGAGGAATGATGAATACATATGTACTCAACTAGATAAAAAAGTATATATTGTATTTTGTGTTGGAACAGGCATGACGCGTAATGTTTTGTAAACATAATAATCTTTCAACAAACTCACAATTTCATTCATTAAAATACTGTCTTGAGGCAAGGGACATCACTCGTGTGTACATCTTGCAATTCAATCAAATTATCGCCCTTTGACAACACGTCGTTTAAAATTTCAAACACTTACACGTTTTTATGATTTGATTCATCAAATAGATTACTCATTGCACAAGCTTATCATGGAGTTAGGTTTGTTTAATTTTGTTTGGTTAACCGTCCTAGTGAAAGCCAGGGTCATGCAAGGTCGTGTCGAGATGTGAGGATCCACGTTACCGTTTACGGGTTATAGTTAGTTTCCTTAGTTTCCAATAAGAGAGCCGCGGACGCTCCTCTACACTGGCATCAAACTTAAACGACTGTGATATTCAAATTTAAAGTTTAATTTTAAATATCAATTTTAAGTTAATTGTTTTTGTATTGGCAAATACTTTGTGTTCACAATATTTGTTTGTCTAGTCAATATCATAAAGATCTTGTGCAGAGCTAATGTTGTCTTTGAAAGGGAAGATCAAAGCTGTAACATTTATCTTTTCATTTTGAAGGTTGGTGTTATACAAATAATCCATGTTTACAGTTACGGTTTAACAGAGATACAAGGTTGCTTGTTATGCAGTATCGGTTTCATCCGACTTAACTGTGTTAATACATTTATATAGACGACTATTTTATGGTTTAGATACATTGTGAGAAAGCCATTCATCATACATCAATCATTTTAATAAGTCAATTTATTCATGCTTATTTAAGCCAATATGAATTAAACATTTACCGTGCCATACGGAGCACCTGTTCTGCAATTTACTTCTCTATAACTTATTTCAATATATAGTCAGATTTTTGCTCACTCTTTGCATACTCAGTGCATGCATATGTAAAATTTCCCTTAATTAATTAACAAAATCGTGTCAACCCTGTGAATTCAATGTTTCAAATTAGTTAATACAATGCCTGTCATTTCAAACAACAAACGTATTATCATAGTGATGTTATGTTTAAAAAATTTCCCGATCGAAAACTTAAAACGTGACTTCAAGCAAATTTATGAATGTCCGTTATATATGAATGTAATGGGTTTAAATCGTTAATTTGATGTTGTTAGCACTTAAGCTATCTTGTAACCCCTCTATCTTTTAGATAAGTGCGATTAGATAATTAGAGTTAAATATAATATGTTAAATAACCGGAATTAATAGAACATCTTCGAGTAAAAGTAGGTAATTACATATACTTCATGCATACATTAAAGACGTAATTTTTTCTGTAAATTAAAATGCAAGTAATTTACTATCACTATGGTACTGCGTCCTATAAATGTAAGAAGTATTAGCGGAAACGTACATTGTTTGAAAAAAATATACCATAGAATTGAAAACAATGGCGAAAATCTTATCTTATATTAAAAGACATTAGTATCATGCCAGCTTTACAGCTTCGTATACATTGAACGCGGATTAAAAGACTAAAATAAGCCGGTATGTAACTGCGAGCTATTAAAGAAGGTCAATTGTACAAATACATGAATGGCTGTCATAGAAAGGAAACAACATCTGACCTTATTTGCATTGTAATTAAACTAATAAAACAGTTTCAAAATCTTCATTTTAACATTTCAAATATGTGTATTTTTCCATATGGGACTACCAAATTAGCGTAATATTTTATGAATAATTATCATACCTGTTTAACTTATTCCTGTTTCAGTGGAGTAAATTTTGTTCAGTGATATACATTATAGATTCTTTTGTTAAACGTCCATAATTATATGCATCGATAACTTTATATTATTTATGTTGTATTTTGATAACTTTACCTGGCGGTTGTTTCTTCTGCTCAGAGTTTTCTCATTGTTGTGGGGTTTGGAGTCACTTGCGAGATCCTGAACTGACGAAGTAAGATAGCTAGCCTGGGCTGGAACACCTCTTTTCTGAGATTGCTGTAATTCTGACAGTTCGTTTGAAATTGTCATACACTTATAATGAAGAAAAATGTTTGACAGAAATAATACGAAGAGAAGAGTGAGATTCGTCCAACTTACGAACTTTAAGCCACAACGGCTGCAAGAGGTGCAATTCCCATCCCCAGTGGAAGATCCGCCTTCCTTGTCAAAGACGATGACTGGATGTTTTTGCACTTTGCACTCCATTTTTAAGCAAAAGGTTCACTTACGGGAATTCCCTATTGAAAACCCGCGGATGTCATTCCCAGAGTTTCGGTACCCAGTAAATCTAGTGGCAGTACCAAGCACCCGGTTACGATAGTGTTGTGGTTTTGGCCAAAGGCGGCGTCTATATGTGTATGGGCGGGGCAACTTGGCCATGGCGAATCCTTAAAAGGGCATGATTCCAGGAATATCAAACTTATTTTTCACCTAATGCCGGCATGTAAACACGGGTACAAAGTTCTCGTGTTTAAGACATCTGAATAACAACAGTTGCCAATGTTAATACAATTACAACACGAGGTGATTAAAGGGGTCACCAATGATTGTCTTAGGTTTAAGGTATTATAGTGTGTTACATTCCCTATTCTTGTAATTCACAGCTATAATATAACTGCATCTGTACTTTGATAAGCGTTAAAAATCGCCATTATTTGTCACAAAAGGGTGTTATAACATGAAGGAGTCTGTTTTGTGATCAGGTACGTTTTATATCTAAAAATAGTTCTAATACATATGTTATGCGCAGCAAGCATGTATAAAAATAGTTTGTATGGCTATTTTTGCTATCGTAATAGGTTAAGGACGATGTTTACCAACAGGACAACAGTAGATGTCTGCCCGAAAGTGTCAAGTCATACGAGCACAACACTTGGTGTATGAGGAAAACAATCCACGCTAACACTTGCCCTCTTACATGTATATTGATAATTTGTTTGTCCCTCAGTTTATATACTTGTTAGACATAAATGTCTTTAAACGTGAATCAGGTTTACAAAAAGATATATCCATAAATTTTTTTTTGTTAAATTAACGTGAATTATTTATTTAAAAGAACACATGGGTGAATATCTGCCTAAAATGTTTCACGTCAGTGTTTTAAGTAGGTCAACTATTATCAGTTAGGCTGTGACCTTTTTCTCACAGTCAAGCTGTATATATTCTCAATCCGAGAACTGTATCACTTATAGCTCTCATTCGACTATGAGACCTGTGTGAACCGAAAGATCTATTGGTTCCCGACTTAAAAAGGTTGTATTATATAAAAAAATATACCTAAACGCGATGTTACAAGAGTTTTATCAGTTTAATCAACTTCATTAAATAGTTGTTTACACTTTATCTGTATGGATCAACGCACGTTACAACACTCTGTAACCTACTTAACCCATAGCTTTAGTGTCTATTACGGGGCTACAGTATGGTGTGATGATAACATTAGGATATCACCTCACTCATAAATGTGCTCAGTTAAAATGTTTTATACAATCTTGCTATAATTCTACAAGTACTTGTACTAAAATCCCTGAGAATCAGTCAGCCCGTCACCTTGCGTTGTGAATGATGTTTCTCTGTGTCAACGTATGGAGAGACACGAACATAAATGTGATACCCCCATCGTTATACATGAGATCTACATTTTTTTTCTTGTCATTTTTCTGTATTTTATCTACAGCTGCATTGATTCTTTGGCTCATCTACAGTCTACCAACCTTTGTTTGTGAGGGCGACACATTAACAAGTATTGACAGCAAAACCTAATTACTCCGGTTGTAACTCCTCTCCTATACAAATAAAAACAGCATTATTCCAGGAAGCAAACCCTCTATCGGTTTGACTCAATTGCCACTTTGATAAGTACACCTTATAAAACATAAACAAAGATGAATTCATTTTTAACGTTTTTATAAGAACTAAACATTATTTGCCAACAGCAGATATATACCACACTATTCGTACCATTTATATATGTCTGCACACACACTAATACAATGAGTTCAACTTGTACCATTCCTAACTTATGGTATTCATTATGTACACATAATCCTATATATAGTAGAGCAATCAACATTAGTTTTATAATAGTTGAAAAGCTGTCTGCGGTAACATATTCAGAAAAAAATACAGCGTTGTGTTAAAATAATGTCAACACGACTCAATATTGATGTCCAATGAGAATAACCTGAGGTGACATTTTACGGCATCGTACATTTTTATTCCTTTTAAAATCCCATGTAGGCATTGGACATATTACTGCTAAGTAACACACAACAGTCTACTGTTACACATGTTTAAAGGTATTAAACGGATATTTAAAGATCAAGAAACGATATCATTATAAATACAAATACAACGCTCTGCTGTTACATTGAAACTGTTATCTTCTTATATGATAACGTGTTAGGTTCGAGGTCAAGAACATCTGTTTCATCACTTCGAACATCGAATAGTAAAGTGTTATGTGCACAATTACAACTCTCCCCACTTCACAGAGCCAAAAAGGACGCGCTTCCCCGAAAGTCAGCTTTCACATTTGTGTCCATGGTATGCTGTAGAAAAACTCCATCTCTTTACAACAGTTTTATCACTTCAAACATGGAACCTATAAGTGTTATGGATAAAATGTGTGCACAGTTACAAATCTCCCAACTTCACAAAGCCAAAGAAAGACGCGTTTCCCCGAAAGTCAGCTTTCACATTTGTGTCCTTGGTATGCTGTAGAAAGACACTATCTCCTTTTTCTAGTTTAAACACACCAACAGAAGAGCACGTGATATACCCGTCCTCCTGACGTGATTGTATGGGAGTTTCCTGTGTGTCGGGTTCGAAGTTCATCATACATTTCGACAAAATATCTTTTTGTTTATTTTGGCGCTGAACAACCACCTTAAAACCTTGATCTGGTTTTCCCATCAGCGTTACCTACAATTCAATAAAAAGGAACACAATATTTCATAACTAAGGAGTTATCTCCCCTCGCTGATCAACGCCGGAATAGTCTTACATATGTTTTATAAGATAAAAGGTTTTATCATATAAGTAAACAATTTTCATTTAATTATTATGCTGTTATTTACGATTCTACAATAGAAATTTGGATTTATAATTTGATCATCATAATTATGCAATAGTTCCTCAAAAAGAAGTCAGCATTTTGTGTCATTAAAATATGCATGCTCTGACATGTTGATGTTTATTGGAGGTATAATTGACCATGTTTTACCTGAGCGTACAGCATGTATATTCCCCCTTCACTGATTATGACATCTCCAGTCGAGTGTATCAACTTAAATTTTTCCTTCAGGTCCTTTTTCTTAAAAGCCCAATCGGAATACTGCCATTTGTGGAATCTCCCTGCAAAATCCTCTGTAAATTAATAACCGCGGAAATAAGCAATAAAATGTGCGATATACTTGCATAACCGTACCTGTTTTACACAACCGAATAGCTACATCATGTGACAACAAGATACAGGAATTTGAATTTAAATTTAAATAAATTGCAAAATATACAGCAAACTGCTACTCAGTATTGATATTTGAACTTTTTACGTGTTTCGAGACAAAAGGCTTTAAACTTTTCTCTGCAGAAAGAGAATTAAATAAGATAACATTTTTCTATTGATTTACTTAAACTTCTTGTTTAAGATACTGCTACAAACTGAATTCACACGAATAGATGGACAGTGGAAATTATTCAAACCAAATAAAATAATGATAACATTTTTCTTTCAGATAGAATTGGATCTCAAAGCAAAGTTATGAGGTGCATATGAATTCTACAAATATTTGGTTAGTGATGACTTTGTGCCATATCAAGGCAATGTTAATGATTGTGTGACAGCCTACAAGCTACATTACGTGGGTCAAAAGGTTTGGTTCTTATAAAGCAAAGCAACATAATTACATAATGGTCACCAATTGTGCTTGTACGGCAAGTGATAAAAGTAAATGTCATATTATAGTGAATGATAATATCATTGTATAGGAAAGATATTTTTTATTCTAATGAAAGACATGCATGAAGATAGCATTGCCGTTTGTGCATATGGCATATTTTTAGATTTCGTTGTTAAGAATGGCGAGCGAATTCGTAATCATTTCATCTGCAATTTAATTTTTCAGCATAAATATATATTTTCTACACATTAAAAGACACACCTATCCCATGCGGACTCGTTAAGGATGTATGGGTCCTAAACGATCGCACTCATTGACTACTAGACTGGACCTGCGTGGTCGGAATGCTGATCATAATGCGGACGAAACAAATAGTTTGTGTTCAGAATTGTATGTTTCCTGTGATTTTCTGAAATACATTATTTTAATGTGATACGTGACATCAGATACAACTGTACTTCCTTCCCTGCTGTAAATGTTTTGATGACAGTCATGCTTTTCTGACCTTATTAATCTGTCCTTATTTAACAATGTTTCATAGTTATTGTTGGATTCAAAATACCATAGGCTAGATTTAAGTTAAAAGTGCACAAGTTCAGCATTATAACTTCTGACCCTAAAGTTTACATCCATCGGTATTTTACATTTACAACATTTAATACCTAAATGTGGTATGGTTTCACTAATGGAATATAATATACTTGAGTCTGATTAATTGCTTTTGTATTGTTTGGTGGTTTTGATGTGTATTTTACTATAATCAATATTAATCTCTATGTTTTACCTATCTGATTGTAAGGACTGCTATGAATATATTCATGGATTACTTCAAGACTTGCACCCATTGTAATATTTGGGATCTTTAATTGTTTTTTTACTTCCAACTACTTTTTATTTCCTAGCGCCATGCTTGGCAACTCCTCACGTTTGGCCTTTATGTTGAGCGTTCACCCAGGTGAGGAAGGCAATGGGTTCTGTCCACAGGCCGCGACATACCAAAGTCATTAAAATGGTAGTTTCTATTCCCGGCTTGACATTCAGCATTTAGGGGAATGGCAACAACTGGTTCAACCGTTGTCAGTATAATGTGACCGGCAGGAATGCTGTGCTGGGTGCTTTCGGCATTGTATTTCAGTGAGATGGCACTATAAAGTCGGCATCAGATCCGCGCTATCACAAGAAGGCAAGCACTCCAACATACCCTGTCCTCTGCATATACACACGCAAGCACGCATGCACTAAACATATGGACGCACGTCCTTAAATAAAACTAGCCGTTAAACAAAGTTAAACCTAACCAAACCGAAATGTTGTCAATTGTGACCTTAGACCTTTAACCTTTGACAAATGACCACTATAATCTTGCCACGTGAAGTGATTGTTACCAGAGTACATTGTAAACTATCGTGAGTTCATCTTGTACCTAAGCAATGTCTACAGACAGTTGGATGGGTGAGTCCTGCACTACTGCGACTACCTTCTCTACAAAGGAGGTACACTCCATGTTGTTGCTTTTTATTTGCCGTTTGCATAGTATATATTTTAATTTATATTTGGTATAGTGGTATAAAATTTACCGTTGGGTGGTTCCTCGTTATCATCCGCCTTAAAATGCATGAACGACATCCCTCTCCCCTAGAAGAAAAAGCAACAGACATAAGAGTATGCCAGTGTTTTGCCTTAGTTCAGCTTTCTGATAGTGTACCGGTTTTACTTTTTATTGATATGTAACCATTTTGCAATTATGGGTTTAGTTGATTTGGCAAAGGCATTGAAGTCGTGAATATCACTAAATACAAAGATGGTAAAACATAAGCAAGCATGGATGGATATAGACTATGAGCAGTTTAGTGCTGTTATCCTGTATCACACTTCATGTTCTGTGTATATTATTTTGTATCAGCGTAATACACCTAAGTAGCAAAACTGGAAACGTTGGTGTTCAAAAACAAAAACAAAAAAATGAAAGGAAATGTTACAACTTGCTAGAAACTAACTATCGGTAATTTTCCCAACTAATTGACACTTCAATTTAGCTTGTCGTTTAACTGTAAAACATTGCTTTTATTAAAAATTGAACATATTTAAGAGGGACGCTTTCCGCTTATTTGGATCTCGGATGAAGAAGACTCAACAGGAAGTGTGATACGGTACCATATAAATATAAATATAAACAGGTGCTTCTGACAGACCATTACCACGTGGGCGGTGTTCGTTACCATCGCCTTCAAAATGCATTGACAGCAGAGACTGCTAAAACAAATAATAAACTACTGACACAATTTCGACATATTGAAACACTTGATCACATAATAAAAATAAAAGTCGTATCAAAATTACTTTTGCAATAAGCATCACGGTCTTTGTCAATATTGTATAGCCAATATTGTGCCAGGTCTTGTGGAACCTCCTAAATCCTGATCCCGGTAATACTAGGGAATTCTTTAAATCGGATATTTATAGTATTTTTCAATAACCCATCATTACTTTTATTTTGGTTTGTTATTCTTTTTTCCGAAAACAGTTATTTACTGAAAATGATCGGAATGTGAAGTATCCAGTCTGATGAGGATACTTAAAATATGTGATCCGGTAATAGTTCTGATATTGCATCCACAATACGTACGGACGCACGTTCTTAAATGATTATACCTGTTAAAAGGACGTTAAACAAAATAAAACCAAACTTAAAATTGCATCCGTCAACAGAGTGAGGCTTAATACCTTGCTGTAATAAATATCCAGTCTAACCCGTGACTTATAGCCTACGTAATGTCATGTCCTATTCAGATACAGAGACAACTTCTCTTTAGAGACAACCGCATATGCGTCCAGTAAAATCAGCCTTATACTCTATTTGTCTGTCGTGATTGCCTAATTATCTGTCCTTTAAAACCTAACTTATTTATACTAGTATATATATACCCTGTCTAAGCGATCAGTTGTCTAATTCAACCACCTGTCCATAGCTAACGTTCAGCCATCCGTAGAGACTAAAACAATGTCCTATAGAAACAACAAAAAATTACTGAGATACCACCTGTCTATAACTCAAGTTAACAAATCTGATAGATCACCTGTCTAAAACTCAAGTGAAAAAGTCTAACAGACCACCTGTCTATGACTCAAGTTAAATAGTCGTAGAGACCACTTGTCTAAAATCGTCTTACAGACCACTTATCTGAACCTCAAGTTAAATATTCTTATTACCACCTGACTATTACTCAAGTTAAATAGTCCTACTGATCATTTATCTTAACATCAAGTTAAATAGTCCTACTGATCACTTATCTGAACCTCAAATTAAATAGTCTTACAGACCACTTATTTGAACCACAAGTTTAATAGTCTTACAGACAACTTATCTGAACCTCAAGTGAGATAGTCTTAAAGACCACCTGTATAAAACTAAAGTGAGAAAGTCGTGAGACAACCTGTCTATTACTCAAGTTAAATCGTCTTACAGACGACCTGTCTCTTACTCAAGTTAACTCGTCTTACAGACGACCTGTCTCGTACTCAAGGAATAACAGTGGTAGAGACCACCTGTAACTTGAGTAATAGAAAGGTGGTATCAAAAACTACTTAGTTCTACTGACCACTTGTTTGAAACTCAAGTTAAATATTGTTGTATACCACCTGTCTATTACTCAAGTTAAATATTGTTGTATACCACATGTCTATTACTCGAGTTAAATATTGTTGTATACCACCTGTCTATTACTCAAGTAAAATATTGTTGTATACCAGCTGTCTATTACTCAAGTTAAATATTGTTGTATACCACCTGTCTATTACTCGAGTTAAATATTGTTGTATACCACCTGTCTATTACTCAAGTTAAATATTGTTTATACCACCTGTCTATTACTAAAGTAAAGTCGTCTGACAGACCACTTAACTGAAACTCAAGTTAAATACTTCCTGATACCAGCTGTCTATTACTGAAGTTAAATAGTCTTACAGACCAGTTATCTGAACCTCAAGTTAAATAGTCGTACATACCATCTATCTATAAGTCAAGTTAGATAGTCTTACAGCCCACCTGTCTATTCAGATCACCTTTCTGAAACTCAAGTAAAACACTGTTACAACCCAACTTTCTATTACTCAAGTTTAATTGTCTGAGATATCACCTCTTTCGATAGTGACCACCTGTTTATTTTGACCACATTATTAACTACCTGTCTATCTACTTTAACTACTGGTTCGTGTTGAATGTCTGTCTTTATAAACCTGTAATCTACCACACAGCACAGCAAAACTAATAGTGACAGTAAGTGGTTTTACCCTGGGGATAATGTTCATTCCCATCACCTTCGAAATGCACCAACAGTACCGAATGCTAAACATACAAAACCACACAAGTTTAATATATTTGACTTTAAATTAGACCATTAAACAATATATGGATATTTTAATGAATATTTTGGATTTTGTTCGGTCAAACATTTCGTGGTTTTAAGACAAACATAACTTTATATTTTTACAAAACTACTCATTGCATTTGATATCGTATTCCTAGTACCCATAACAAATCGAACATGACCTGCATTCCACTTAATATATTTGTATATAAGCGCGCGCATATAACGTGTTATAACTGGTATTAGTCATATTTCCGATAGGAGAAAAGCCTATTTATAACATAAACACAGTTATTTCCCAGAACGTGATTACACAAATAGCCTATATAGCAGCGCTGTGTTTGTGACGTAAGTCTATGTCGCTCTATGCACCAGATATTATAAAGATGTATTTCTCCTGAGAAAACAAAAGTTAAAATAAATTAAGAGTGTATCTCCTTTTCCCCTATGAACACCAGTTGTATGTCATCGCTAGGAATCGCATGGCATTTTTTAAGCACAGAACACACATATGTTTCGATTAACATCAAAATAAAAACTAAAAGGTAGCAATGCTTTAAAGTTGACATAATAGCAACTAACATATCCTATACGTGAAAAAATATAAGGCAGAAAGTAATTATGTGTAATCGTGTAATACTACCTTATAATGTGCACACTATAATCAGTAATATATTATCAACACAGCAAGTTTCTAGATCAATGACTGTGTAAGCATACGCCTTATTTGCTATTTTCTACACATATTTAGGGACACTTCAGACCTATGGTTATTTATCTGTTTACTTTTATTACCACTGCTAAGTCGTAGATACACGAATTTACGATATGGTGCAGTATAACGGATATTGTGTTTGAATTTCTTAATTACGTTCATTTAAATTTATCGTTCTTATTTGTTCTTTAATCTGTATTTCTAGTGACAACCTGTTGTTTATATTCATAAATAGAAAAGTGAAAATAAGACATTTTATAAATTGAAACATCAATGGCATTCGTCACAAGAAAAACATGAAATTCCATTTATAGCATTCACAAAAGGCAAACATCATGCTGTGTTAAAGGTACATAGAATATCGAGAGGCAAAGAACTTAATTATGACGTCACAATCAATGTTGTTATTTCAATGAAAACCTTGCTTTGATTATTGAGTTATATCAACACGAATATGTTCTTTGTAAAATATAAGAGTAACATGGTTTAACAAATATATAAGTGTTAAACTATCAGTTTACAAACGGGTACATAAATGACCTACCAGGATCTGTATCTAACCATTTGGAGAAGTGAGATGTGTTCCCTATTACTGAAACGATAATCTCTAAGCTTAGCCCTCCAGTTAACTTATCATGTCCATAAAATGCTTATCAGCTTAATTTTGCTACATCCTCCTCCTTTTCTTATGTTTCCTGTAGCTGTTATACGTTTGCTAGCTTTTTAGCCATTGCATATATTTAAAGACTGCCATAAATACATGTTGTCCCTTTGCTTGTAACATTATGTAATCGGTATCAATCATATGCTGTAAGGAATTAAGAAGTTGTCCCGCTTGTAAAGAATGATTATGCATGCTATCATTATGCAATGAACTCCCAGTTTCTTGGAAATTGTCGCATGAAAAACAATCTCTATCTTTATGACACTGTGATGTTCTGCTGAAGATAACAAATACTGAGCTATGATACCGACGTTGAATATTTGACGGTGATGGGGAGATTTTAGCATGAGTTATCGCAAACATTCAGGGTTATGTGATAAGGTAAAACAGTTTCAAAGAAAGGTAAAACAGAAAATAGTACACAATAAAGAACCTCCCAAGTCTCTTTGCGAAGAAAAGATATAGAACAGCGTCAACGTCCATGTATTGTAAGGTTTAATTGGAAAATGATAGTAAAATATAAAAACCCAACTAAGTTAAAATGGAAAAAATGCTGTATGACAACTTCACACCCATGAATGGCTTCAACAGAAAAAAAACCTGCTACAAAGTAAATTCAAAAGTAAGGTGTTTTAAACCAGCGTTCACAGCCAAAAACTGAAACCGATAGGAAACATGTGAGGAGAGATCAAAGAAAATGGGACGTCATTATGAAAGCCTTTATAAGAGAATGCAGTCGAAAGTTGTGTTCCAGAATGATACACGTGTTAGGTATTAACACCTACACAACCGGAACCTGTCTGTCTCTTTCAGATATCAGCTATTGCGTCCTTTGTCTTTTGTGGACTATTTTGTGTGAACTGCCTAAATCTCCCCGGTATATATTCGGTGTAATAACATGAACTACAGGCATTCATGAAATACGTAGAAATGGTAATGACGTGTTCCTGGAACGGGAAAAGAGGAGAATGTCTGCATTATACATTGAGATTTCAGGTATATCATTCTAATCGTATGGCTGAAGGGCGTGGATGGACGAGCGGACAACGTTTTTTTCCTTTGTCATACAGTTTCACATTCAAATGGTTGAATTCCACAATGACGTGGAAATTGTGACATGTGATTTTATTCCTTTGGATTAATGCCTTTGTTTCCGTGATGTTTCAGAGATGGGTAAACTGTTAGTTACAGGTAGAAAGGTATTGGTATATAATTGTTCATTGTTCCCTTATGAGAGTATGGATGCTGAGTGAATTGATCGACAAACGGTGTATTACTACAACAAACGAATATTCTCGGCAATAACACACGCTGGCGTTTATTAACCAATAGAAAAGGACACAGTTCTAACTTAAAACTTAAGTAACAAGGACAACGATAACCTGTTAAGTTTAAGTCTACGTTACGAAATATACATTTGCTCTCAATTGCCACTTTATCAACGTCAGCTGTGAGCTATGAAATCATAAGTCTAGATTATAAATCATGACATCATTGCAATTGTGACGTTATACCCACATCGTTAGGGATAGCTGTTGGCTTTACAATTTATTGAAAATCTGCCCGGAATTCTTTTTTTTTTTTTTTTTAAATTACTCAATAAAACACACAAATATTACACCGAATTCGGTTACATGTTTTTTTTCTTCTTAATTATGACAAAAGTTAATGTTCAAAACGTGCACATGTGCGCTATTCTATTTAACGCTTACTGCTTTAGTATATCTTGAATTTATTGAGAGGCGTTCGCTGTATTTCTATTTATGTATTCACCCAGAGTAGCTGATGAGTCATGATTGAGGACCAGGAAGTTGTAGTGATTGGCCGACCCATAATCCAATCAGCGATCTAACATGTTAAGGCTGTAAAGCCCCTCGGAAACCTATACATGTGTAGTTTATTTTGTTTAAAATTCAACGAAGCGTGGCTGGTTTTAGGTACGACCATCTCGAATTAGTTCAAGGCTGCATGGCCACCCCATACCCGTGTACTTGTTAAAGTCAGTAACAATTGGATAGTCTACATCAAATTTTATGTGTCTGCCCCCTTAGCATACTAAGCATTGAACGGTATGTAGGTGATTGATTTCGTGTACATAGGTGGCCGGCGTTCTACTTATTCGCACGTATCTAATCTTTATATCGTGTTTGACATATCGATAATATATACATATATTATGTACATTTTCGTAACTATATAAAAGATTCCCGACAAGTTTTCGAAAAAAAATCGATTTAAGTCCTGATTTTTAAAATAAACAAGAGAAATAGCACAACTATAAAGATGATTAGCTCATGTTTGTGATAAATTTGTGTCACCGTGCCAAATTGATCATGATACCAATAACACAACGGCTGTTGGTGTGTGTGTTTTTATTATGAATTTTATTTTAAATATTTTTTATGCCGTTACATAAGATGATTCGAACAGGAATTCAGGAGAAATTAGAAGAAAGAGAAAGACACATCATGGACATTTCACACACCTGACGTAACCCGATGTTGTGAAAAGGTCCGAAACACCATAGTATTATAATGTAAAAGTGGCCAGATGCTTCTAAAACTTTGGGCGATCTAAAACGGCATGGACGTAACCCGATGTTGTGGAAAGTTCCGAAACAAAATAGGCATAGTGTTTTAATGTAAAAGTGGCCAGATACTTCTAAAACTTTGGGCGATCTATAAAGGCATGGCCTAGATTTGGGAAAAAAATCCTTGGAGGTCTGAGTGTACATCTTTATTTTATGGAAATATGGGAAATGTGTTTTTTTCTTTAAGTATAGAAACATTGATATTATTTTTATGGTTAAAATAAGAAATGTTATACTATGTTGTTTTCTTTTTATCCATTACGCTTTATTTTTATACGGCTTGATGATTTTTGATAAAACTATATACATTTTTGTTCAATGCTAACAGCTATATTACATTTTTTTTAAATATGGTTACAAACATCTATTTCGATTAAGAATTTCCAATAGAACAGAATCATCAAGTTGATAATTAAATTGAGGTTACTTCTGCGTTCGCAACTTATGTCTTCTACAAATAGGGAAATATAAATATCATCGGTTTTCATTCAGCTCAACTGCTTCATCACTTAATCTCCTCCTTATGTATAACCTCATTCCCCCCAATCAGATGGCGAGCTGCCTTTGCCTATTAAAGTACAACCAGGCACTAGTCATATGAAGGACGACACCGTGATAACTAACGAGTGTCCATATCGTTAATTCAGAGATCTTATCATTTATGTGTGCACACATTTAAAGGCATCCTGACACGGATTCGACTGCGGTGTCGAAGCTATCTAGAAGACATTGACGATAACATTGTCACTAACTGTATTGTTTCAGTGGTTTAAGAAACTTCACAAAAAAAGGATCCATCGTGTCCATAAATAGTTATTTTGAAAGGTATTGTTTAATCTGAATTGTTCTATTTGTCTACCTTTCGTAAATATAAATAGGCGGTGCCATTTTTTATATTCGTAATTAAACAAGCAGGTTTGATCAGCTGATGATGTCGGGTTATCTTGATACATTGCTATATTTTCTGTTTCTTGTAATCTTGTTCAAAATAGGTAGACAATACATAGTTAAAAGATGTCATTGATTGTACATTAACTGACACATTTTATCTTCAAACGTGTCAATATACTGTTTGTGGTATTCTGCCAAATATTGTAATCTATTTGGACCAATTATCTTACTCTAGATATGCATAAATAGGACCTGAAACCCCGATCTACAAATCAACTGTTTGACACAAGACAGCAAAGTCGTTCTCTGATCAAAAGTTTATAAATGTTATCGATATGATTCTATTTACTAATTAGGCTTTTTTTCAATAATATCGTTTCATAAGTCTGTGCATATAATAAAAAAAATATTGTAAGTGCAGAAAAAGGCTTTGTTTTCCTGCTTAACAATGCTATATCGGATAAATAAGGAATTTTAAATAATTAAACTTTAACAAACTCCAAACAACCAGGTTTGTTACAAAAGGCATCCGATTTTATGCGTTAATTTCCAACATAAGATAAGGTGGGTTTGACATGAATCTGTTTCTATCAATTTTCAAATTGTGTCTTGTCTTCTCTCAAACTTATATTTTACATATGTGCAACAAAATGAAAAACAACAACATGACAAACAAATCATGTTTCACTACAAATGGATTAAAATTGAGATGTCATTACTTTAAAATATTGTGTTTCAGAATAAACGGTAAAACTGAATTTATAGTCAAGTTATTCTATTATTTATTATAATTATAACAACAGTATACAACACATAAGGTACCGTTGTTATTTTAATTCCCTATTTTTATTACGATTTATCACGTTCATTACTAAGGTCGCATTTGGGGGGGAATAGACGTAAATTCAGAATAGAAAAGAAAAAGGACAAAGAGGCCAAGAGGGCCTGTATCGCTCACCTGAATATATTTAAAATAATTGGTATGAAGTAAACATATAGCACTCAATGGTAGGTGCTGTAAACACATATGAAATTTCAGAAAGATCCATCCAGTACTTGAGAAATAGCGAGAACAAACTTCAAACAGAGCCCCACCCCTACACCACTAGAGGGGTCATACCCACCGTTTATATAAAAAAAAAAAATTGAGTCCCTTTGGCTCAAGGATGCTCCAGACTAAATAAGATAAAATCCTTAATCCCAATGGTCGAAGAAGGATTTTAAATGTTTTACCTCTATTTCCCCTATTGGGACCCGCCTCGCGGCCCCCAGGGGGGTTAGACACATCGTTTTTCAAAAAATTGGTTCCCCTTTACCTAAGGATGCTTCATACCAAATTTGGACAAAATCCTGTCATTCGTACAGAAGAAGAATGTATTTGAAGAATTTGCTAGGTTTTACCTATTGGTCCCTGCCCTTCTGCCCCAAGGGAGGCCACACTCACTGTTTATTTTGAGTCCCTTTTGCATAAGATCATCCAGACCGAATTTGGAAGAAATCCCTTCATCCCTATGGTAGAAGAAGGATTTTAAAGGTGTACCTCTATTTCCCCTATTGGGCCCCACCTTTCTGCCTCCTTGGAGACCACAACCACTGCTTATATACAATTGAGTCCCTTGACCCACGGTGCTTCATACCAAATATGGACTAAATCCTTTCATTCCTACAGAATAAGAAGGATTTTAAAGAATTTGCTATGTTTCCCCTATTGGGCCCCGCCCCTCAGACCCCTTGGGGCCAGACCCACCGTTCATAGAAAATTGGTGTCCCTTCACCCAAGGATGCTTCAGACAAAATATGGAACAAATCCTTTCATTCCTATAGAAGAAGAAGGATTTTAAAGAATTTGCTATATTTCCCCTTTTGGGCCCAGCCCTTTAACCCCCAGGTGGCCAGACCCACCATTTATACAAAATATATTCCCCGTCTCCTTAATGATACTTCTGACCAAATTTGGTCAAAATCAGCTCAATCGTTCATGACAAGTAGTGATTTAAAGGAAAAGCTGACGGACGGCCGACGGACGACGGACGCTGCGGTATGGCATAAGCTCACCATGGTCCTTTGGACCAGGTGAGCTAAAAACCAGAGATCGAAGTTACTTTGTTACCTTGAATGTCTTGGTGAAGGGAAATGATCCTTCAGCGAATTGGACACCGTGCTTCTGGACAGTTATTCAATTTGCTCGAGTCTTACCTCCCTTTATCAGACCATGTATGCTACCAATAGTATTACTTATGAGCCAAACATGTTTCAAAAGGGGATCAGTAGCTAAGTACATACTCTTAAATCTATCGGCATGAAACCGGAAGCTGATTTTCTTTGAAATAATATCATTCAATCGTGACGTCATTAAAAATATTTCTTAGATGTATTTCTAGCTAAAGTAGAAATATAATCAAGTATCAGTATATTTACAGACGGGTTGTCTCAAATAGGCATGCTATTGTTTGCAAAACGCAAAAAGATTTTATGATTTCTTATTCTTTTTTCATCTTTCAGCTAGGATTCTGTACAGATTTTAAAATCTACGGTCTACCTTTTTCATAGCTTTTGTTACAGCCTGCTCCACGGTTTTGTGTACAGTCTTTTGCACCAGTCTTACCAAAGATTGTCCGGTATGCCTGCGTTTTTGCTGTTTTTCTTGTTTTCGCAAGCACCTCTTCCTCTTTTTCCCTTTTTGTACATTTTGACATTTGTTTGCAGACCTTTTGACAATGTTCACTTCACCAGGGTTATCTGTTTCCAAAGCCTTGTCTTGTGGTTGCATTTTGTCCCCATTAACATTTTCGTTATCCTCCTTTGCAAAATAAGATAAAATTAATGAATAAAGTAAAAGCATATGGAAAAAATAATAAAATAAAATTGACAATTTCTTTAAATAGAGTTTATCTCCATTTGTCTGAGAAATGGGGAATAACCTCCCTTGACAATTTTGATTGATGGATATTGATGTTCCTATAAAAACAATTAAACACAGTTTTATTTCCACAATCATTAGACCATCTTACCATTTCTTGTCGACTAATGAAGGAGGAACGATCTGCCATTACTTTTGAAACTTTTGCGATAAAATACTTTTTCTGAAGTCTGCTGATTTGTTTGTCAATATTTAGAAATCTAGTATTCAAACTGTCCATTGTCAGTGCGCATGCGTGATTGTTGTAACCCATAATGATGCAGCACATCGCCACGATGACGACACACACACAACACGAGGTGAAAATATGGTTCCTGTACCTACGCCTGCAGTTTGCACAGCTACTACAATTTTCCACTGACTGCATTTCTACATCCTCGCGATCGTGTCCACCATTGTCCTTTGACATGGAGCTACACAGTGCACGTTCGTTGCTAAGGTGATTTTCAGGTAGTATTTCCATTTTGGTAATAGTTACCACATGCTGTTTTAACAAACGGGGGTTTCCCTCTCGTAGTGCTGCAGTCTAGCCGCGGTTCCCCTACAAACCACAAATACAAACATATACACAGGGTCCACAAGTACTATACAATTCAGTGTACTGGATGTGATACAAGGACAGCTCAAATTTTATTTATAGACAGATTGTTTGAAGTGTACGAATGAGGTGAACATAGGTATATTCTCGGAATGTGAACTCTTTCATATGTATTTGTCCCTTATGAGTAAACTATAGATGGAACGTGACCCACAAATATGATAGAAAGAGAAAATGATGCTGAGTCGATTCTTAGAAATATCATGTCCTACATGACATTTCCAGAAAGTGTTCTCAGGTCTATGCCGTGTACCTGGAAAAGGGGCGGGCTATACATTTGATAGAAAGCTGTCATGCCATATTTGGTTGAGTAATCTTGATATAATTCTCGGTAAAATAATTCAGCTGCCAACCAGCGAGGGTATGTGATATATTTGTTTGTTACAGACCCTGACAGTAACTGTAGATATAAATAGACTGCACTAGAATCTTGTTTTGTACTGCAGACCTTGGTTTCTGACCTATTTGACACAATTCAATCAGGCAGGTTCGTTAGATGCGAAAATTATTATTCCCATAAAGCTTTGTTTGACCTTTAATTGGATATTTTTTTGCATATTCGTGTTCCTGAGATTATAAAATGCTTCAAATTGTTTATTTATGTTCTTCTTACCCTAACACACAGTCCCGACTATTTCTATAAAAAAAATATACAAACTTTCTTATAGTTCCAACAAACATTCCAAACGAATCCTGATTTCTGAATATTATCTACATATTCGAAATAACACTATTGTTCATGGATTACGAAGAAACAATAGTTGGGAAAGAAAACATTTAATTACTGGACTGTTGTACGACGGACCTGTGTATTGGCCCCTGAGCACTGGGAATGACACAGTTATTTTCAGAACCTCGGGGCAAATAACCTGGTCTATTGTAAACCCACCTGTGATACCTACATAGTAGTGGTATGTAAAAGAGGTCAGTATTTAAAGTGTATATGTTTTTAATGTGAACAATGAACACAAAAGACACCGGATTAGTTCTATAAATAGTACTTGCTTGATTGACAGTGAATCTGTGACCTCGTACTTGGTATGATAATCACGAGAGCTCCACGTGCGGTCAGAGGGGTAGACCTCCTGCTGCGGGTACAAGACATGTGAGACATAAAAGTTGGTGTGTACTTTGAGTGTATGAATTGGAGTGACCTCCCTTGAATATCATCCTGTAAATAACACCTATAAAAGAACTTTAATGTAATACACATGACTTGTTACATTTGGCAATGCTATATAAAATATAAATTTAACTTACAAAACAATTAGTACAGCTTTATAATGTGCAGAACTCTTCGTTTGCTTTGCTGATTTTTTGGCAATAAATCTGTTCGAAATTTGACCGATAACTGCTGTATAATGTACACACGTCTATCTGTCGGCTAAACCTATCACAACGGGATAGTAAATCAACATCAAATTATATGTATTCTGCCACATCTATAAAATGTTCAATTCTACTTGAACTAATAAGAATTTAATTATGTATCAAGCTTTGTGTATAAAAAATAATGTATTTGATATATTGCCAATACCACAGACAAGTTGTTTATAAAAACAAATTAAGAAGAGCTTTACCGGCGCCAACCATGTTTATATATATGGGTATATATGTCACAGTAGGTTACACACACTTAATGAGTATTTCTTACATCTATGTACAGACCACGTGGTGTCCCTTTGGAACAATATGGATCATCACTGCTGTGGATCATCCTATCAATATAAAAATGAAATATCAATATCTAACATGGAACACAATTATGGTTACAATATATAGCATTGCTAATAACCCAAATTAAACGCATCAGTGATGTGCTCAACTGGAAACCATAATATATATGTAATAATATATATTACTATGACTTTTAAGTACTAGACAGCTAAAGGTTTGGATTCTACATCAACCAATTAAACGTGGTTCATTGTTATACTATAAGTCTGTTAACAATTCATTGCTGAAGAACATGAAAATGTGAGTTAAAGTTAAAAATATCAACTAGGTATGTAGCCTACAGCATCACCAACTTCATAACGACTTTCCGACATTATTGAACACAACAAATGAAAATATAAGCATCAGTTATTGATATTGAAAACAGTAGTGCTATTTTGTTCATTTTATTTCTAATTTCTACATGTATATAAGCCAACTTTCTATGTGACATTCATTGACAGTGTATTTTCATGTCTTTTGAGGAGGGACATACAAGTTACTTTTTATTAAAAAATTATATTCATACACATACTAAGGTGTCCTCACAACGACACGTTCAAGCCATAAAAGAAGTTGACTGAAGTTAATATGGATACTTGAAACCCCTCGATGTGTGCACATACGTCTTAACCCCTATTAGAGTGACACGTGATTGTTAAACCAGCGCTCCGGGTCTTTACTCGGGTTTGATATTGAGGTCGATCAAGTGTCCCAGCATACGTACAGTTATGTACCGAAGTGTGTAGAGGCTACGATAGCTGGGTGTCAGGGTATACACATGTTAATACCCACACCTACCCAGCGACTCTATACCTACCATAGCCCTTGTAAACCAGAGGCCATACAAAGCTTCCGCCGTAGTCGAGCCACGGTTGACGGTTCCAATACTCTCCGCTCTGTTGTTGTGTGCCAAGATCTTCGACACGACTCCAGATCACCCACCTTCAATATAATTCTTTACATGTTTTAATTATATTCATATGATTGTTTCGGATAGGTATGAAAAAATAATGGTTTGTTACATGGTTAGACATTAATTCTTCTAATTGATGTGACATAATTTTCAAAAGTTAAAGTTTTCGAAAATTTCAACATCCGTCATCTCCATGAAGTAGTTTTGTTTGGGTTTTCTATCATCAGTACATAAGTCTTACTTTCTCTCCATTTTGATGTTATTTCTCATTGTCAATTTTTATAATTGAAATGTTTATCTGAATTACTAAAGCAGGGTCATGATATCAGAACACAAAATAGTGTTTGAACAATGCCCGTTGTAGAATTCTAACCCAGACAACAGTTACACTGAAAATCTAATACTTAATGATATATAGACTAGTAATTAAGAAGTCATTATTTACTGAACAAATAGAAAAAAGACTCATTGTACCTAATTTCGCGATACAGTGATAAATAAAAGCAACTTATTTCAGATGACACTGTTTTAACAAAAAGAATGTGTTTAAACTTTATCAAAAAGGTGCAAATATTTAAAATTCATCATAGATATTACTAAGAAATGATGTGTAAAAGTTTTCATATTGCTTTAATTCTTTCCTTTGTGGATTTGAAATTTGTACGTTATGGGGGTCAATCCATATGATATAGATACATGTTTGTAAATACTTGGGGTGAAAATGACTATGTTGTTAGCAATAATTATGTAGCTTACTCTCGTTTTCGAAACAGTAATAATAACGATTTCATATCGCATTCAAAAAAACATTTTTTTGATGGTTTTATTAATTGTAGATAAAAATTACAATGTCCATCGGAACTCTTGTTCCGTTAATAACAACACCATCATCTTACTATCAAACCTAGATAGGATTTAATCAACAGGTGAAAGGAGGTCGAGTAAAATCTTTCTCGTAAAGCGAATACGTACGAATTTCATTATTATAACCATGTACGTATGTCTAAATAAAACGATTTATACAGATCAAAATTATGTTTTATGGTATTTCTTTCAGAAAAAATAATTTTAAATAATGTTCTAAATCAACTTTAGTAGTGAAGTAGTGTTCAACTTTAAGTGTTAATAAGCATAAGCATACTTATGATATACTGTTTTAAACATAGTTAACTTACCCCATATTTGCTTCTGTGTGGCGCCCACTTATAAGCCAGAATCTCTTCGACCTGAGTTATAAGGAAGTGTCTAATGACGTTGACCAATCACCTGTGTTGAGAGTGGAAATACCAGACAACAGCATAGTCATCAGATAGTAAACTCTGAAAATCCCTATTACAGCTATTAATAGCTCCGAAATTCCAAAACGTCTAAATATAGATCCTACTCAATCCTCCGTTGATACGCTTGTTGGTGGTTTTGTAAAACGTTGTACCATTTAGATCAGATGGTAAACCCGAGGTCGGTCGACAGAAAGAGGGGTTGAACAAAGAGGGGTGGCTAGTACATGTACACGTCAATGAGGACGACTAAGCGGTAAGGTGAAGATCCTGTCATATCAGGACATCACTAGTGTAAGTATTGTTGAAATTGTAGTCTAACAAATATATCATGAGAATGGCTGTATCGACAATGACGCGAATAAGCATCTGTGATATGATATTTAATCACATGTGACATGACTGTGATGCAGTATTAAATAACACAAAACTGGTGTTATCATAATTTTAATAATACGTTCATTTTTGATGAATAAGTCGATGTTACATGCATAGGTATAACAAAATGTATATCAATCTAAACTCGACTTCGAGATATTCATTGTATGGACTTTTAACTATTATTACAAGTTCAAAATATGTTAGGGAGAAGACGACATGTATTAATGTTTTTATAATTAAATCAGCATAGTCGCTACAGATTAATGTCCTCATGTCGTGATCAAATACCACAGGGGCAAGTAATCAAGGCTGTTTTAATGAAGCATGTCTTCCTATAAAGCAAACTATGAATTTTGATTTAGTGAAAGATCATTTTGTATACAGGTTTCTAATTTGAATGTATTGGACATTTTGCGTTTTACACAACTTGATTTAGGAAGTTAATATAACAAATACATCTATTATTTTCCGACATGATCGCATTTTTTTGGAACAGACACCAATCTGGTTAGAACTTGTGCGATTTACACCTCATCTTAATTTGTCTATTCATGAAAAAAGTATTTTGTACAAATGCCAAACACCTTAATGATTAAATATTCTAAGTAATCGTCGAGAAAATTCGACATTCCGATGACATTTCATGTTTCTTTTTTTTTTGTTTTTTTGTTTTGTTTTATTAATATATTTTGCTACAACTAACTTATTTGCCTGACTCCATTTTGGTTTATTTAGGGATCAAAGATAACAATGCAGCTCTTTGTTGCGATTTAAGTCATACTTCAAAAACTCACAGGTGTTAAACTGAAATCAACGACTGTTAAGTTTTAAAATAATAATTCAGACAGATAATTAGTAACACATCAATTGGTATTCTTACTAAACAGTTAAAAGCACTATCTGCTTTCACTAAACAGTCAAAAGCAATATCTACTTTCACTAAACATCTGCTTGTTCGCAACATTAATTTTAATCACCTTATTTGGGAATATAACTAAACGCTGACTCTCGCTATATAAAATACACTTTAAGTAGCAAACACGTAACACTTCATACATCAGGATTAAGGTCAGTATGTCACCAATATATACGGATAACATGTATGTATACACGTATTCAACGGCGTTTATTATACCGATAGAAAACGTACCAGCCAATCAGGACCCCGCGCGTTACGGTCAATCAGGAAGAAGTTTGCATTTTATTTATGTACTTTTTCTCGAATTCTGCAGAGGTTCGAGTAAACATTCAGTTCCGTAAATCAGAATTAATGTAGAAATGTGAGTAGTTCAACAGGAGGTCATGTTTGTGCCATCATGATTATAAACAAGTACTGGAATTCACAATAGACAAATGATCAACAACATGTTTGCTTTTCTCTCCTTACTACCTTTTATCAATGATGTTCTCCCAGGCACCACCTTGCGGTGACATACAAACTTTAACAATAAACACAAAAACAAAAACAAACAAAAAATGAATATGTTTTATGATATGGGAAAAATACTGTCTGAAGCTATTGCATATATATTTGCAAGAAGTTCATATAACATTATATAAGACGACAATTCACTCTTCTCTTAAGCAAATATGAGAGATAATTAAAGAACACAACTCATAAATAACAGTTGGTGAGGATTTCTTATCAGATGTTGAGAACATAGCTTGCCGTTCCATAAAGGGTATGCACATGTAATAACTCCCGGAGTTCAGAAACCAATGACAATATACTGTAATGTGGGATGCTCCAAATACACAACCAACAACAATGGTATTCACTTTGTTGTTTGAACGACGAAACAATAAGTTGTCCATTCTATAAAGAAAGCAATAACGAGTCATAAACATGTTGTTAGATAAAAATAGGATATCAAAACCATATGAGTTAGAAAATGGAACATGCAATTATGTATGAAGCCGACCAGGAATGTCTAGTTGTTAAATAGAGGTGGTCCTACGTCACTGTATTAAATATTTGACGCTAAGGTGCTTCCCTTATGTTTATATTAATTTGTTTAATATCTCGCATGTTGCTGAGGTGTAAAAACAAAACAAATCGTATCTATGGTCAAGTTTTCCATATTATAGAATTTTCAATCCCGTTTGAGAGTCAGATACGGTTTGATAACGACGATAGCTCTGATATATGTTTAGACAGCTTGATGTGACGTCATATCAGTCGTAGAACACCAAAATATGTCTCTCCTGTTGACAAATCAATTTCAGCATCAGGTGACAGAAGATAAATGCTGAGGACGTCATTCTTTCTTAGATATAGCGTTCGAGCAGATATGCAAGTCTGAAGCAAAGTATCATAATGGTTTCCAGTCCATGTATTGTTCAGAGGTTGACAGTTGAAAACTGTACTAGGGCGACCGTTCGATCGTCTGTCCAAGACAACTGCAAATACGTCCGTACCAGTATTGTTAACCGACCACATGGCAGCCTACAATTAAATTTTGTAACTAAATTAAACTTCATTTATTTTACAACAACTGTGAAATAAGTTCTATCAATTTATAGGTATAACTTTGGCTGTATGGTAGCTCGCACGGAATCTGGATATGGAAGGAAACTGGAGTACCCAGCGAAAACCGTTAATATGCCATAGCGATAACATTTCTATATACGATAGCGAGTCTTTTCGTTCTTTAACAGATAGGTTAAGTTTATCAACTCAAAAGGACGTGAGACGCATCTTCCATTTATAACACATCTTACATTTTAATGTATACTCATTTTGTGGCCACACTAAGAATTTCTTTATGTCCGTGATACTGGCACAAATTCACTTACGTGAAGGTAGACAAGGTATGTTCCAGTCTGGTGAATGTGATAAATGCCGTCATCCGATTGGGATACCGGAAGTGACGTAACATCACTGTGTGGTTCTCTGTCCTTTAGAAAACGGAATATGTTCGGTACCTCTACAATAAAAATGACGGAATCGGTCAAAATATCTTCGAAGCTATAAAGGAAATTGATTTTACAATGTTGATTACAAAAATCAAAATATCTGCTGATTTCATGTAATCCCTAACAAGAATATTTTCTTTAAAACCCTTAACAAAACAATATGAAACGAATTCATATATATACAAATGTTATAGACGGTGACCAGAAATGTTATATCGAAGGTCATTAAATGTTCATATTGAGGTACAGTTCTTTGGGTACATTGTGTATATTTACCTGTAGTAGAAAACCTTCTATTTCTACACACCTCGCCATCGAACAGTGAACGACACCCTCTACCTGTAAAACCAATGTTTTATGTGTGAGACACTGGTTCAAAATGTCTATAATATACTGTATGACATTATTTGTTCAGACGTAAATTTTCCCGAAAAGAAGTTGCTAAATCAAAACATGGTTAAAATACACTACGTTACTACTTTGTTTGCTGTCAAGCAAAGATAGTTCGCAACGCTATCCAAGGTAAACTTTAAACTAATTGCTGCTCGTCCTAAATATCATATCTACAGTTTGTTTGAATGTTTACCACTTTGATGGTGTGACAGAGAAATCACAACCTGAGAGGTAAAAGTCTTGGTTATATGACCAGAGGCTTGATTAAGTTGGGGGTTGAACATTCAAGAATTTCACATGGTTGCAATTTCTCTGACTTATCCTCACCGCAGGAGATGATTTTTTTCCTTTCATTCTATCAATGATATGTTTGCAGACAATGAAAATCAGCATTCGTAATATGTTTATTATCCTTATGTCCACGTGACTTCTCTTTTCAAAAGCTTATCTTGATGTCATATGTTATTGTTCTCGTGACATCAGCGTATTTGTTTTGTTTCTAAGGGCTATCTGTCATTTAGTAGGGAATGATAGAAGTAAACAAAGCGGTTTCAGAGAGGTCCTAAACTGGTAAAACGGGAGACATTGTCTAAATGATGTGTGAGAAAGTGACTATAACGTTTAACGGACTATCTAGCCAACATTTAACCTACTATTTACCAAATAACCTACCTTTAAATTCATCCCATGGTACATCTTTGTCATAATCACTGATGAAGTGGACATGGCGATGTCCCTGAAGAACATAATAGCATCTAATTTATTCATAGAGAAGGTAGGGGAACATACTGACTTTCTTAATTACACCTTCAACAGTTCGCATTTTAACAGACAAAAGAATGCGATAATATTCCAAATTAAATATATATTATTCAAGCTCCTCAGAAACCGCAAGCGATTCATGGTGTTCCGGAAGTTTAAGCGTTGGGACACTTGATACATTTAAGACACTGTTAACACGTCTTTGATAATCTTATGCTCAATTTTTGATTGCTGTCATTTTTGAGGATTTCAGCACATTATATGCGTTATATAGTGTTTTCCATACGCTTATAAAAATATCATGCTAGGATTTTTAAGTAAGAATTACGTACATTTATCGGTTGTAGCCCACCATTACCACTCGGTATTCCTTTAATAAAGATACATCACATATAAGTTAAAGTCTAGGCCATTTGTATCTAACTCTGAAGTAGTTACCAACAATGAATGCTTTATTTAACCTTCAAAAGGTATAAATGAAAAATAAAGTGTATCTTACTGTATAAAAGGATAAAAAAAATCATGCTTTATCTGACCGTCAAATAGGATAAACAAAACTTTAATTTTACTATTTTTTTACATTCACTATAACTTGAAATTTATTATATGATAAATCTACGTTTTACCCAGATACACGTTAGGTATTTCTTATGTTAAACTTTAGCTTTACAATGTAAAACCTTTGCGTTTACTATGTTATGAAAATCACGTTTACATTATGTAAAATTCAGGTTTACTATGTAGTAATGGACAGCTTTACAATATGTAAACTTTAGGAAACATTTAAAGGTTATATGTGCAAATTTTCAGATACCGTGTGAAATTGTAGAGGTTACCATTGTCCGTATAATGAACTTTAGGTAGATTATGTACGTTACGTTACTTTCCTTCTGATAAAATTTCAGATTAACCATGAGACAATTTTACCTCAAATTTGTAACATAAAATGTTGTTGTTTGCCTAGATAAAGACGTGTGTAATACAGACGCTGTTTACTTACCGATTGGTAAATTTATATCCCCTATCACTGCTGTCTCTCCTTTATCGCCTTTTGGTCCTTTTTTTCCCCTTTTCCCATTCTTTCCTCGCTTACCTTTCTTGCCATTTCGACCTCTGGAACCTTTCGCACCTTTCTGACATGAACAGGATTGTTCTGTAATTAAAAACGTTAAATTTGCACAAGTCTTTTGTGCATATAAAATGAGTGGGCAAATGTAACAAACAAGTGTTAAGCATGACCAGACTAGGATGACGAACTCAAGATGAACATGATATGTTAGCTATTTACTTATTGGCGACTGGCCCAGTCCAGCGACTCTATAAATGTTTAATATATCAGTAACATGGATATAGCTAACGAACTACAGCTTGAAATAATCTCGACAAATAAATGAAATTGTAATGATATTTACTGTTTCGTTCCCCCGTTTTTCGTTTCTCACGGTAACTCGCGAGGCCAGTTACACTTGTTTCGCCTTTGTGACCGTTGTTATAGGTATGGCTGTGTACGTGTCTATTTAACAGTTGAGTCCGAAGGTCTAACGTTGTATTCTGAAAATAATTACAAAATTAGCATTACTTGATAACTATACAGCTGCGATATCAATAGAATCAGTACTGCAAAAGAACAATCATATGAGAGAAAATCAATTGGAAATGTTTAACAAACGAGCAAGCGATTAACTTCAACTAATGTAAAACGCAAGGACTCATTACATGAAAAATGCATACAAGCACATCGGAGAGTACGGTGGTTACCTCAGTAGACGATTTTATTTCATGACTTGTTTTGAAGGCCGGTGACTGTACATGTTGTCTTTCTGCTTCCCCACGTAGAGTCCGTACCTCAAGATAAAGGACGACTGTACACAAACAACTTCCTGTTGAGATAACACATGCTAACACTGCAAACCAATGTCCACATACACACGCACTGCCCTTTCCTATGTTCCTGTACCCTTCGAGTTGTCTGGGTTCTCCGTTAGTTTTCATTTTAACATTTCTACTTTCGTTTTGACTCTAAGGAGCACATGACTAATCAAAATAGGTCACATACAGTTCTGAATAAGCAAATATATACTGTACATATTATCTGGGACCAGAGTAAAACGTGATCTATTTATAATGTAGGCGGTTCTCAGAAACCCTTATAAAGGCATTACTGTTCGAAGTAAATAATTGATTATTTTCCAACTATCTATCATATACTCGGACTTGGGCACTGATATAACTTAAAACCCTGCAGAGAACTCTACTCTTAATACATTTACAATGCGCGAGCTTCTGTGTCGATTTAGTGCTGAGCATGTATGTATTGTTTCATTTCAAAATATTTTATTAAATCAATCAGATTTAATTGGAATTGGGCAACAGGCAAAGCCTATGCAAGCCCTCTCCCAGGAGGTACATCTCAAACAATAGCAATATAATGAACTATGAATATTTACATACATGCTTTAGGAACATAAGACTTAGATCAGTGCCAATGAGTATAGGAGACAACATACATACATACATACATACATACATACATACATACATACATACATACACATACATACATGCATGCACACATACATGCACACATACATACATGCATGCATACACACATAAATACATGCATGCATGCATACATACACATATACATACATACATATATACATGCATGCATAACATTCAAAATTCGTTGGTCGATTCTATATATCTCTGAACACAAACACGAATAGCTGAGTTAAGATTTTCACTAAGGAAACTGCTTCCTTTAATCAATATATTAATATTAAACATTAGATGTTCATAAATGTTAAGGTCAAGTTAAAGTGTAAATTTAGATTTGTGTCAAGCTGTAAATGAGACAGAGATATTATCATATTTTGTCTTTGAGTCATATATCTAGGGCAATGCAAAAAGAAGTGACTCATATCTTCATTATTGTAACCACATATACAGGAGGGATTATCATTAAGATGGTCTCTGAAGAGATCAGGGTTCAACTGACTTGCACGATTTCGAAGTTGACATAATATTATGTTAAAAGATCTAGTCCCTTCATATTTAAAAATCTTAGTACATATATCTTCATTATTTTGGGGTATGGCATGAAGAACAAGTTGTTGTTTTTTTAGTTCACTAATAGATCTCAAATGATAATAGTTACATTCAGGTCTATTCAACCAAGACATTGTGCTAGGAACGAAACTGTTGAAATATGCATTAGATCTACAAATTGGTGATTAAATATGCGTTGATGTCGCACATGATGGGTCATAGCTTCATTGCTGACTATGTAAGGTTCAACAATTCCAAAAGGATAATTAGGACTAACATGGTTAATTATTTTTAAAAACAATAAATGCTGCTGATCCTTTCTACGTTTCTTAAGAGTATCCCATCCAGTTTCATTATAGATGATTTCATGACTAGTACCTCTTCGGAGACCAGTAACTATTCTAGCAGCATCTAGCTGGATAGATTCAAGAAGATCTGATTCAGTTTGATTACAATTATTCCATACAACACTAGCATACTCAAGATATGACTTTTATATCATTTCTAGAGATTTCCTATCAAGTTTGTGTTTGAGTGACCTAATTGAATGCATCTTATTAATGTACATGTATCATTATATAAGAAATTGATGTGATCAGACAACAAACCATGGCTGTTAAAAAAAATACAGAGATGTTTATGCTTTTTCACCACAAAATTGTTAAGAAATGTGAGATCAGGATGCATTTCATCTGCATTTAATTTATTTGATACAAGAAAACTTCTGTTTTACTAGGATTAAATAGTATACCCCATCTATGAGCCCAGATAGATATCCTATTGAGATCATTGTTTAAAATGTCAGCAGCAGCCTTGTTATCATTTTCTATAAGTACAAATAGTGAGATATCATCTGCAAAAAAAAATCAGATTTGACTCAATTTATTTTTCTATGTCATTTATATATAACAGAAATAAATATGGCCCGAGGACTGAGCCCTGTGGAACACCGGCTGTAAGTGTACGCCAAGAAGACTTGTACCCATCAATTATTACTCTTTGCTGTCTATCACTTAAATAATTAGAAAGCCAATTTAGAAAAATGGTTTCAATACCATATTTTTTCAATTTGTACACAAGTCCATCATGTCAGACCCTATCAATACTTTACTTATATCACAAAACACAATTCTGGCCTCTTTTCTTCTATCAAGTTGCTTAAGAATTGAATCATATATTGCTTATAGCTGGTTAACTGTAGAATCTTTGGGGAGGAATCCAGATTGGTTCTTAGAAGTTATCTGATTTACTGAAAGATAGTTAAACAAATATTTGAACATAATTCTTTCAAGCATTTAATTAAACAGAAGAGTGATAGACATATGTCTGTATGTCTGTAGTTTGATGGGTCACTTCTCTCACCTTCGCCCTTATATACAGCTGTGACATTGGCATTTTTCCAGACTTTAGGTAATTGACCGGATTCCACTGATTTATTAAGAAGAATATGTAATTACTTTACACGAGATTCAGATACACCTTTGATAAACCTAGGATGAATTGCATCAGGACCTGCTGGCTATTTTGGAATAATGAGTTGAAGTTGGTCATAAACATCTTGCTCAGTAATATTGATATTGATCTGTATCATTTTTTTCTTTTTAGAGGGAAGAACAGATTTGGCAATTCTCCACCATTTACCCAGAGGGATATTTTTGTCAATAAGAGAATTTTGTAATTTGCTAAGATATTTTATTTCGCATCTCTAATCATTGAAATAACTGAATTACGTAATTGTCTGTATTTATCCCACGAGGTGGCAGGATTTATTTGCTTAGCCTTATAATGTTGCCTATTTCTCTTCCTCATTTTCAGCCGGATTTCATTATTCATTCATATTTTATCATTAGGTCTAATTGTCACTGTCCTGTTTGGTACAAATCTGTCAATACAAGTCATTAGCTTATTGGATACAATTTTAGTTTAAGATTTCAATATCATCAATATTACTCAGCTCTTCATCCGGATCAATTGTTGATAAATAAGTATTAGCACTGGCAAAGTATGCATTATTAAAATATATCGAAGCTTTTTTAAAAGTATTTTTCTTAAGTGTCTTAAATGAAATTGTGGTACTAATAGCACAATGATCACTACATGATGTATGTATTGTAACACATGTTCCTGCATTTAATAGGAAACATGATGATGGGTACAATATTTGATGTTTGAAACAAGGCAAAGGGGCAAAGAGAAATGGGTTGGTTAGGTTCCGATTATCTCTCCTCCTAAATTGCCGTATTGAATTGATATAGTGACACTAGTTTTGCTGTCTGTGTACTTCGTACGCTAAGAGACTAGATTCTAAACTATAAAGCAAATATGACTAACTACATATGTCAGTGGTTAGGGATATGATCACAATGGCTTATGTTGTTGAATGATGTAATGGGTATTTGATACAGTATGCCAAAATAAATTACTCTGCATCTTACAGCTTTATCATTATTTAAATACTTCCCAGTGACGCTAAGGGTAAAAAGGCTGGGACCCAAATTGGTTTAAACCCCTATTGAAAAAGAATGGGGATAATCGACTACTATTTGAACTTTAGTTAGCCTCAAACATGTATTTCGGGAATTAATTCTCCTCTAAAGAACGTAATTTCCCTTTGATTTGTTTAAATGTCACTTGTAGTTTGTCCTTGCATGTTAATGCTCATGTTTGCTCTTTAGAAATGCTTCTAGATAAGGAAGACTTTAAACGATGTCACCGAAATACAAAATGACCTAATAAGTAGATTTATATTCTTAAGTATAAGCTATATGATATAAGCACCGAGCTAGTTCTGGGTGTTTCTCAAAAACAATCAATGTTGCCCATTCAATGAAAAGTTTGCGTTGTTCGACTTGAGCATTTCAGATTTATCTGACATCATGCATTAACAGTAACTGGTTTGGATGAGGAAGCAATTGTAAATAAAGAATCCGACAACATATCAAAATAACAAAACAAATTAAATCAAAATACAATGTTATCATTTTATTAATACAATGCAAAACTTAATTGTATATTACAACATATAAAATAAAAATCATAATAAAATAAATTTACAGAAATATACATATATACTCTTTTACAATGACGTCAAAAGTCATCCAATGAATGAGATCCAAAACTATAAAGAACGACGTAATAAAAAACAAATTATTGTTTAACAATAACAGGAAATATGACACTTTCCATATCTAAGTGGGATCGGACAATTTCGCACACAAATTTAGGCAAAGTCATCATATTGCCTTTTAGTGTTTGATGATGATGTTTTTACAATAAACCTCAGCAGAGTGCATATACGAAAACGTATCATCTGAAAAGCATACACTTCATGCTCTTATATCCTAATAGTACATGATTACAATGTTAAATTGTTTATTTAGAAATCAAAATAATGCTATTCAAATTGAAACCTTAATCAAAGGCATAAACAATAGTCTTTCATGTTATCTTTGCGCACTGCAGATATGAAACAATTTCGAACTCTTTGCTTTAAATTAAGTTATATTACGATGCTTCGAGAAAACCATTTAAACTTTATTAAGCAAAAAATGACTGAACGATTAATGGTATGGGGTTAATGAATATCTTCCTGTTTGAGACCAGTTAATGGTAGAATGACCTCAGGGAATTAACCTGGCAGTCTGAAGTTTTTTTCGCATTGTGCATCTATGACTATGTGTTTATGTTTGTTGAATGTCGTTCAGCCCTGTGATAGTAACACGGCTCCAAAGTTTGTGTGCTTATTAAGCAGTATAGCCCTGTCGGAGCTGGTGATGACAACAGATATCGTTTGACCCTTTTGAATGTAGAACATGCCAACGTTTCCACACGACTTTGTCCTAGCTCCCTTGTATTTGATCCGCCTGTTGGTCATGCTTTCGTGAAAGTGGTCGGTCGCCACAATACATGACAGCTCCATATCTGTTCTCTTCCAGTTGATATCACCAATAAACAGACCCATTTCGTGGTGTAGATCCCGGACCAGAGACTGAGACTAGATGATAGAAAACATGCTGTATTAATTTTTGTTTTAGGTTTTACCGCCTAAAACGTCAAATAATAGTACAGCTTAGTTTTAGAGAAAATATGTTTTATGGGCTTTCTTTGTAAGAATTATTGTTTAGCTATCTTTTCACAAAATATTAGTTGTATACATGGTATAATATGCAATATCTCATTATTTACTTGCTGGCGTCAATGATACATGGAAAATTAACGAAAGGTTACAGTATGCATTCAAAGAATGATTGGCATTTTAATTAATCACTTACGTTTATATACAACAGGTAGAGGCCGGTGTACAGGACATTGAATCTCCCATTCAACAGCCTCTCAATGGGATGTTTCACGTCATTTATCAAGGATTGGATCGTCAGGAACTCCATAACATGGTTATCAACTGGAGATAAAAGGTATGACACAATTTTACCCATAAAAGTTTTGATAAAATATATATTCGTTTATTACACTTATATGATTTTTTTAAAGGTTTAAAGTTTAAAATATAATATTTCAGCAGCGGTATGAAATGATAAGCAGCTACCTGAAATATCATTCAGTATTTGTTCACGACTTTACTTACAGGTGTCAGGTGTAAGTATTTTTCTACCATCACTTGTTAAATATATATTAGTCGATGTTGAATGTGACGTCTTCTGATTAACATCTGATTAATTATTGATTAAACGCATACACGGCCTTCTAAGATGAAAAACACATGTGCCCTTCCTTTTTACAGTGCACGGTAATGTTGCCTACCTTTGCTGTGGAAAGTGTTATCTGATGCACAATAGTCCCCTCCCCACATCTTCACACATTCCATTGAATCTACAAATGAACAAACAGTATAACAGCAGTCTGTATAACATTTGGTATACTTACATGGTATGTCTGTTGCGAAATCCTGGAAGACATGTACTTTATACCATATGTCCAACACGAGACAATACTACACTATCAATTACCGTCAAATGCTTAAAAATTGTATTTTATTGTTGTTTTTCAAAATCAGAAATGTTAATTGTGTAGATAGTATTTCAATCATTCAAAATCTAAGAAGCTTACCTGTTCGCGAGTCAACGCTGGTCATGTCTTGTTTAGATGGTAAACCTGGGATGAAATGTGCCGCCATGACGCTGATCTGTCAGGTAAAACACGTTTTAGAAACTGGTGGGTTAACTGTTGTTCTTGAGGAAAGTATACAGACATACCACTGACTTGTGATACGATACTGAGATATGAACAAGTTGAAGGAACTAGAACCCTTTATGTAACTGGCTATTCAGGTTACAAATTTAATATGACAATAATTCTAACCAACAAATACCATAAACTTTCGATTAGCTGAGGTTCTTGTATTTCCCTTTTGCTTTAATTTACAAGTTTAAATATGCAGTTTCTGGTGAATGCGGATAATTCGATAAACGTAATGACCTACCGACTCTCCTTTCGCTCCTTGTATTCCTGAAACAGAAATTTTGAAAATCGGATATAATTCACTATACCATTAAAGTGTTGATGTTACATAAGGTTTATTCTGCAATTAAGTAGTCTACATTGAGTAATGAAATTGTTGAATACAGCAATTTCTGAAAACGTATGCAACAAAAAAAAAAATGGAGATTTTAAGCAAAGCTAAAAAAATCATTATATTTACAGTTTGAAATATTTCTGAAGAAAGTTGTGTGACTGTTTATCACGAATCAAATTTAAATTTATTTTTAATGTTTGATGTGAATCTCTTTCAAAAATATATATTAGGCGAAAAAGCTATATTTTGTGTGTATATGTAATAAATGTTAAGCATCTGAAGGGATGGCGTGTAGTCTTACCAGGAAGTCCAGGCTGTCCCGGTGGCGCCATGGGACCCGTGAGTCCTCGTTCCCCTGGCGGTCCGCTTATCCCGGGACTCCCTTGAACACCCTTCGTGCCGTTAACTCCAGGTTTGCCGTTCAATCCCCGAAAACCACGAGGGCCTCTACATTTCTTTGGACATTTCCGCTTTTTTTCTTTAGTGGTAATTGGAAAGCAATATTCAGGACCTTAATAACTTTGTACCGTTAGTATACATAAATGATAAATAAAAATATTTTCAGCTTTCTATTAAAAGAAGACATTTTTTGTGCGAAACAACTATATCAAAATGAATAACAAGCTCAATAAAATGGTTTGAGTATGCCTTTATTTAGTGTAATGAAAAGCTGAAACGTGTCATGATTACTCGTTATAGTAATCACGGTCACCGTTATTTTGTATCGATCAGAAATTATCGTGAGTATAGCTTAACGAATTTCAATAAAACAGATCATAGATATTGCTGAAATATTTTATTTAGTATGTATTATATTTTATCATATCGCTGATCAGTCAGGCATAGTGTGGTTTAGTAATAAGTGGGTTTGCTGTAATTATGTATCTGACAAAGCGTAAAGCTATGCCAGTGACCTGCAAGGTATAGCATGAATCGGATTTAGAAGATTAAGTGTTTGGACAAAGTATACAATCAGGCATTTCACAAAGTAATATATCTCCATAAGAGTTGTGCTGGCTACAATATCATGAATATATTGCTAGTCATCAGCTGCATGTGATGATCTGTATATCTATGTTATACATGTAACTTGTTAAACCGACACATGCCGTTAAATTAGTTTATCACACACACACACACAAAAGGATGATAACTTGAAGCACACTTAAATCATTTACGTGTTTGTGCATTTCAAGCGTGTCAAAATGTTAACAAACTACAACACCAGTCATATAAATATACTACACTAATAAATGTGTAAAAATCTTGTTATGACGTTAGCTTTTGCCATCCTGTTCCACAGAACACGATGTTTGTAATAATGACAATGTGGTAAAAAGATACCATTCTTTCATTTAAATACACAAGGATAGAATACGAACTCAACCAGAAAAAAATACAGCATTTAGTTATCAAATGTTTCGCAACCACACCCATGCATTATAAATTATAATGTATTTCCGTGTTAGAATGCTGTAAGTGTGAATTTTCAAATAATACATACATATATATAATGTTACCAATTCTATTATAAAGGTAAGCATCAATTTAGATACAATTTAAGGGCTAGGTAGCATTACCAATGAAAGTGTTAGTAAAAATAAGTACCAGATTTTTGTTTTCGTTTTCTTTTACCCTTTGTATGAACTGCCCGTTCAACACGATGAAATACAGGTTCTTCAAACACATTATGGGTTCCGTCGTACGTGTCATCCAAGGTCAAGGGTATGTTATCAGTTGTCACGTGTTCAAAGGTATTTCCAAGAATCTAATAAAAAATACATAATCTATCAGAATATGGGATTTCTAAGCATAGAAAACCCGTAAATTTCTAAAGTGATATTTTCCAAGAAATAAATTCCTTTAAAGTTATATGAAACCTGTGTCGTCAAGTGAATGTTCCTGTGGGATGTTGTGGTGTTCCCCTTCCACCACTTATAGATGACTGGTTTTAGAACTCAATGAACTCCTCTGTGACCAATATATGTTATATAAAGTATGTAATAAATTCAATTAAATGCTTTGAAAAAAACGTAAGTAATACATTTGCATTCACACTTGAACTGAGAAAAAAAACGTTGATGTAATTTCAAATGGCAACGAACCGAAAGGCATACAATTATTATTAAAATGAAAGGATTATTAAACCAAAATAGAAAATGATCCGGATAATTTGAATAATATTAAACGATATTTTAAATGTCCCGACATGCAGGAATAGAAAATTAAAATTAATAAGATACTGAACTTATCTGTAAGCAAATGTATCCACGTGTGCAGTGTTTATTAATATGTTTAATAATAAATGTCTTTAAAAATTAAACATTTATTGTGATGTTAATAGAAATCGAAAATTAATCATCAGAATAACTTTTAGATAAAATCATCTAATTAAAATCAATGTCCATATGCATGATAGTAAACAGAAAATGCACAATAAAACGTTTACAGTTTGCATACGTATGCGATGTATCGGGACGAGAGACCATATCCGTCGTGGGTTTGTTTACCTTGTATTCAGCCGATTTTGAACCATGACCATCTTTTAGTAGGTGTATCTCCTTTTTCAAGTTGACAATCTCATACGCTGACCAAAGTATATATACACAAACAAAGACGCAGAAGGTATGTCTGACAAAGCTTTCGGGCCAACAACTGCAAAGTCGATCTGTCTCCTTGCTTAGTCTATATTTCTTTCCATCCAAAACTACTTTCATTTTGTTATTATAATATAGCATACGGCTAGTGACACAATGACCTATATACAGACTATCGTGTGGTACCGACGTCCTTCTTGTCAGCAACTTACTCGCGTCTGTAACAACCGACCCTTATATTGGGCCAATATATTCTGAGCGATTCGGGGAAAAACTTGCTTGACCTCAATACAGGCGGGACTTTGTAGGAATATATATTCCTCAACATCAGTCTATGATTCATCAACCAATTGTGTGTCGTTAATCGAGACCTAAAATACAGATATAACGTGAATATTAAAAACGAATGCAAACTAAATCTAAAAATCGCAAAGATAAGTAGTTCGTTTCATATGCATACGAAATAAATCATAACAAACAACGCCTATCAGGTGTATTGACTTGAAAATTAGCACAGACTGTTACAACAGTACAGACATGTATGCACGCTGCATTACTATAGTTCCTCATTTAAGTGTATTTCTATACAAATAAAATAGTACAACTTGATTGATATGAGGGTGTATATACCTTCGTCGTGTTACAAAAATAATTATTCAGTGATTTTTGTGAAGCTGTTATAAAGTCGTTTTGTTTTTAAACCTTCTTGTATCGCGAAGATATAATCACATCTTTCCCAGGAAAGTATGTACATTCAGGATAGGGGAGGTAATTGGAGGTAACTTGTATGTACTCTGAGTTTTGTTCATATGTTCATCGTAATAAAAATAACCTTGATAATGAAGTAATATTGTTTAAAACTGAAATTTAACTAAACATGGTTTTCTATCCTTGGCTATTCAGTTTCTGATTATGTTTACAGTTGTCATCAGTGACCTGTTTCCAGCTATAGGATTTGTCAATTATGATACATGTGATATGAAGTGTACGTTCAATATTACTTAGATCGCTGAGGCCAATATCTTATCAGGCAATTCATTTATATTGGGTTTTTATAAGCTAAATGATACCTTATGGTAACAAGTGATTGTTTTCTTTGTCATTACAACTGAAACAAACATGCTTTTATCACCTTATTGGGCCAACAGATGATACAACCCCATTCTGCATTTGGCGAGTGATATCATAACGGGGTCAAAATGTGACACACGTCTTTCCTGGAATTTCGTAATGTTACATATGACACAAATATTTCCTGGTTCTGGGTTTTGACCCTGAGTGTTGGTATTTTCCTACTCTCGTTGTATTTTCCTAAACATTACTTTTTTTCTTCCGTTTGGTATTGGAGTGTGTCATACCGGTCACAATATAGCAATCACATTCTACAAATTATCTTTATCTTTTGTGTATCTGTTCTCAAGTGAAGATAACAACCGTTAAAAAATAAAAAGAATTGTTATACTAGTTTTCGTTTTGCACAGATATATACTTAGGAAGAGTTACAGGCCAAAAAGTATTCAGGTCAAGCAGCATATCCGAGAGTATCATGATTTTGACATGAATTTGCAAATATTTACATTTTTTTTATTGTTTAGAAATGTACGTGCACCTGAGTAACACTTGTTACAAGGCTTGATAGTCTTACATTAGAGTTTAAATGTAACAACAAATCATATGACAAGTTATTATATTTAGGTGTAGACGCTTGACCTGCTTCAAGATTGAACCCCAATTCAGTATCACTACCGCAATGCAGTAGTCTATTTATAGTCCAAGGTCCTTTGCTTGATATAGATTTGTTCTACGCCCGACTTTAAAAACATAAATATTAGTTTAGGGGGTAAAGTACAAATGGTACACTACTGTTCGTGTAATTGAATACAGAAATATGAAGTTAGCATTTCATTATACAAATTGTCTTAAAATGAGGTCAAATTTAGCAAACTGTTAACGTTCCGCTACGCCTAATATGTATAAATTTGCATCGTATAATGTATGTACAATGACGATGTATTATAGACTGTGCAATACCCTGTCTACTGTACGAGAAGGAAGTTATAGCGAAAGGAAAAAATTCCGGGAAGAGGGGCTGTTTGCGAAAGAGATTTGTAATTACGATAAAGGGAAACATAAAGACATTTTCGCAAAATGGGATGTTAACGTGATGTTGTAAATGTTAACACGAGAGGTTTAACAATGATGTGCCTGTTTTAATATGATTTAATATGATACATTATGGACACAGGCTACAAGCCACTATATCCATACCAGTACATACAACAAAATTTACATTAAGTGTCAATTAAACAGTTTTTAAAATTAAAAATTATATTTTCACGTTTAAAGTACTCATCTAAACCAATGTCAAACTGCATGACTGTTCCATATATTAACAACACGGAAAGTAAAGATTTTTTATCTTATATCAAGGTGACAGTGGTTTTTAAAAAGTTTGTAAAAATGCCCTCTTGTTGTACTACTAATATCCCACTGAAACATGCTTTCAGTCACTAGATAGGGTCATAAACAAATCACAGTCTTAAAGACGTTTATTAGGTCTCCTCGCATCCGACGGTGCTTTAAGGTTGGAAGATTAAATCTCTGCACACACTCTGTATACGTCATATTACTAAATCCAGGTAGGATCTTGGTAGCTCGTCTCTGGGCGTTTTCAACATGTATTTCAGCTTTAGTAGTCTCTTACCGTAAAATATCCTCTAGGTGATTCTTAACGTTTAAACTAAATAAAATAGAATTTCTTACACGTGACCTGATAGAGAAAGCTCAATTAACACTGATTGTGTACCTATCTGTATTTGATTGAGTGAAATCGCACACATAAAGAAAGTGGTTCAGCTTCCTGACTTATCAGCTTAAGGAGTATCGCATTGGATAGTCAGTATATCTCTATATAAATATAGCATGCATGACGTCTATTTACTCTGTAATTTATCGAGTAGAGTTTTCACGTGTACCTCTGTTAATCCACATTAGGCACATACACGTATAATAACATAAATATTACCTACAGGATAGTTCATGTTTCGTAATGAATATCAACTACATGTCATCGACTGGGATGAATGTATCAATACTGTTCACATCGGCAACGCATTCATACTAAGAGTTAGAATGTAACTGGCCATCACCGCAAGACAACACATTTTTTCTAAAGCATATGAATATAAAAACTGAGGACACAAAACCCATCGCCAATGCCACAACAAATTATGTACCAGGCCATTTTGTTATGAATCAACAATAAAACACGAGACTTTATTAAAATTATACGGTAAATTCAGCTTAGTTTGATGTGTGGAAAAATAACATAAGGTGTAATCTTTAACAATAAAAGAATAAAAACTTCATTTTTCACATTTAAACCACACACAATAGTTTAAATCTAGGAAACATTACACTACATGTAAAACATATACAATACGTATTGCTTAAACAGATTTATCACAACACATTAGACAATTAATGTTGAATGACTGCAGGCCACATTGTAATGACTTCTTAACGTTAATTCCTCGTAATGATTTAACAGATTTATCACAATACATTAGACAATTAATGTTGAATGACTGCAGGCCACATTGTAATGACTTCGTAACGTTAATTCCTCGTGACATTCGTGTTGAACAACACAAAACTGTCTTTTATTCATTCACATTCAATGCAACACGTGAAGGACTGTAAGGAATAAACTTTGAATTTTTAATTGAGATTCTTATTTTTACACATCGGATGTGTTCCGCTAGCACAACGCGTTCCACCTAGTGAAGCAACGGTTGTTTATTTAATTGTCAACATGTCACTATTGGACTAGCCGTGTCATAACGCCTGTGAATCTATAGTCCACTAGGTAATGACACTTTTACATTTGTACTGAAATATATTTTATGATAAGATAAATAAATCAACACTGAAGGACGAAGATATTCCGTTCAGCCAGAATTCAGTAAAATGGCGCCAAAATTTGTGCCGTCCTTGATACGTATGGCCCTGTTCGGTTCCTGCATGACGACCGAGATATGTTGACCAGCTTCCATGTAGAATGTACCTACTGTCGCACATGATTTTGTCCTGGCGTTATCATATTTCGTATTCATTGTGTGGGATGAAATTTTTTCCGTAGCAACCGTACACATGAGGTCAGGGTCGGAGTCGATTTTGCCGATGTACAACGCCACAGCGTAGTGAACATCATAAACATACAGCTGGGCCTGTAAAACGTTGATAAAGTCAAGATCATTATTTCAGAAAGGATATTTCAATCGCGTATGTTAAATAGATCTTATATTGTTTTACAAATACACTTTATCATCTTTTGATATGTGCAAAATATATCTTGTTGATAATGTTTTTTTCAGTAATCAAATGAACTAAATCAATATATTCTTGGAATAATCTTCTGTTGGTTTTCTGCTAATTTATATACCTGACATCTATTCTTTGCTTCCATTCATTATTTATACCGTGCTATCTCAATCATGTTGCATTTAATTTTGTGACTGCATATTTGTTGAATGTATGAGACCATAGTTATTGAAGAAAACACGTTCTGGTGGGTTACTTTTTATATTAATGATTATTGTTTTTCATTTGTGTTTTTAAACAAATTACTGTGTATTTTCGTTTTTCATTTAAAGATCCTGATAGTCTGCGACAATCGATGAAGGTTCTACATGACTATTCAGAATGTACCATGAAGATAATACCAATGGGTTTAATTTCCCCGTTCTGAATAGACAGATTATGTTTAATAATACAGGTTCAACTTTCAAAGAAGTGTCTGCAATGGTAAAAATCAAATGTCTGGATCACACAGGTAATCGAATATTATGGGTTATATTTAATCAAGAAAAAAATACTTTATTTGTACTTGCATTTAATGTGGCATCTTTATATAATACATATATCTAGTCTAATAGAAAATACACGTACCTTTGTAATACGTTAAAAAAATGACATAATTAACATACGTTTAGATAGACGAGGTAGATGCCGTCGTATTTGACTTTGAATTTGCCGTCGTGAAGTCGATCTAATGGTGACTCTGTCCACTTGCCGAGGGACTGATCCGACAGAAACTCCATGATCTGGTTAGTTTCTGACAATTAGTAAAAACATGATATAAACTTGTATACTGCACCTTCATCTGACCAAGGTTTCCTGTGTACTAATGGTTTATTAGCTATGGTGGGTTGTTACTGCATTAAGTTTGTAATCTTCAATTATGCTTTCTATTCATAAGTATAATGAAATAAATATATTGTCAATAATAACAAGCAAACCATTTCAAAAATGCAATTTTAGTTGAAAAAGGTAATGTTTGCATTGCCTCCTTGGTGAAAGTTGAAAAGTGGAAGATATATGTGGCCTGAAACATTAATAATTTTTTAAACGCTCAAACCGGAAAAAGAATAAGCATTGTTTGAAGAATTGTATTATTACCGCAATCACTTGTTATATATACTTACTCTTACTGAAAAATGTGTCTGAGCCGTAACAATATCGCCCACCCCATCTCTCTTCACACGTCGCCCGAGCTGAAAACGAACCACGTGTAGTAAGGTCAAACAGAAACAAAACGAAACACGTGTGGTAAAGTCAAAGAGAGCAAAACGAAGCACGTGTAGTTAGGTCAAACAATAACAAAACAAAAAACATGTAGTAATGTCAGACAATAACAAAATGAAACATGTGTAATAAGTTCAAACAGTAACAAAACGAAACACGTGTATTAAGGTCAAACAGTTACAAAACGAAACACGTACAGTAATATCAAACAGAACAAAGCGAAACACGTGAAGTTAGGTCAGACAGTAACAAAATGAAACATGTGTAGTAAGTTCAAACAGTAACAAAACGAAACACGTGTAGTAAGGTCAAACAGTAACAAAACGAAACACGTGCAGTAAAGTCAAACAGAACAAAACGAAACACGTGTAGTTAGATCAGACAGTAACAAAATGAAACATGTGTAGTAAGTTCAAACAGTAACAAAACCAAACATGTGTAGTAAGGTCAAACAGTAACAAAACGAAACACGTGCAGTAATATCAAACAGAACAAAGCGAAACACGTGAAGTTAGGTCAGACAGTAACAAAATGAAACATGTGTAGTAAGTTCAAATAGTAACAAAACGAAACATGTGTAGTAAAGTCAAACAGTAACAAAACGAAACACGTGCAGTAAAGTCAAACAGAACAAAACGAAACACATGTAGTTAGATCAGACAGTAACAAAATGAAACATGTGTAGTAAGGTCAAACAGTAACAAAACGAAACACGTGTAGCATGGTCAAACAGTAAAAAAACGAAACACGTGTAGTAAATCAGACAGTAACAAAATGAAACACTTGTAGTAAGGTCAAACAGTAACAAAACGAAACACGTGTAGTAAGGTCAAAAAGTAACAAAACGAAACACGCATAGTAAGGTCAAACAGTAACAAAACGAAACACGTGTAGCATGGTCAAACAGTAAAAAAACGAAACACGTGTAGTAAATCAGACAGTAACAAAATGAAACACGTGTAGTAAGGGCAAAAAGTAACAAAACGAAACACGCATAGTAAGGTCAAACAGTAACAAAACGAAACACGGGTAGCATGGTCAAACAGTAAAAAAACGAAACACGTGTAGTAAATCAGCCAGTAACAAAATGAAACACGTGTAGTAAGGTCAAAAAGTAACAAAACGAAACACGCATAGTAAGGTCAAACAGTAACAAAACGAAACACGCGTAGTAAGGTCAAACAGTAACAAAACGAAACACGGGTAGCATGGTCAAACAGTAAAAAAACGAAACACGTTTAGTAAGGTCAAACAGAACAAAACGAAACACGTGTAGGAAGGCCAAACAGTAACAAAACGAAACACGTGTAGTAAGGTCAAACAGTAAAAAAACGAAACACGTGTAGCAAGGTCAAACAGAACAAAACGAAACACGTGTAGTAAAGTCAGACAGTTACAAAATGAAACACGTGTAGTAAGGTCAAACAGAACAAAACGAAACACGTGTAGTAAAGTCAGACAGTTACAAAATGAAACACGTGTAGTAAGGTCAGAGAGTAACAAAATGAAACACGTGTAGTAAGGTCAAACAGTAACAAAATGAAACACGTGTAGAAAGGTCAAAAAGTAACAAAACGAAACACGCGTAGTAAGGTCAAACAGTAACAAATCGAAACACGTGTAGCATGGTCAAACAGTAAAAAAACGAAACGAAACACGTGCAGTAAAGTCAAACAGAACAAAACGAAACACGTGTAGTAAATCAGACAGTAACAAAATGAAACACGGGTAGTAAGGTCAAAAAGGAACAAAACGAAACACGCGTAGCATGGTCAAACAGTAAAAAAACGAAACACGTGTAGTAAAGTCAGACAGTAACAAAATGAAACACGAGTAGTAAGGTCAAACAGTAACAAAACGAAACACATGCAGTAAAGTCAAACAGAACAAAACGAAACACGTGTAGTAAATCAGACAGTAACAAAATGAAACACGTGTAGAAAGGTCAAAAAGTAACAAAACGAAACACGCGTAGTAAGGTCAAACAGTAACAAATCGAAACACGTGTAGCATGGTCAAACAGTAAAAAAACGAAACACGTGTAGCGTGGTCAAACAGTAAAAAAACGAAACACGTGTAGTAAGGTCAAACAGTAAAAAAACGAAACACGTGTAGTAAAGTCAGACAGTTACAAAATGAAACACGTGTAGTAAGGTCAGAGAGTAACAAAATGAAACACGTGTAGTAAGGTCAAAAAGTAACAAAACGAAACACGCGTAGCATGGTCAAACAGTAAAAAAACGAAACACGTGTAGCATGGTCAAACAGTAAAAAAACGAAACGAAACACGTGCAGTAAAGTCAAACAGAACAAAACGAAACACGTGTAGTAAGGCCAAACAGTAACAAAACGAAACACGTGTAGTAAGGCCAAACAGTAACAAAACGAAACACGTGCAGTAAAGTCAAACAGAACAAAACGAAACACGTGTAGTAAAGTCAGACAGTAACAGGTCAAACAGTAACAAAACGAAACACATGCAGTAAAGTCAAACAGAACAAAACGAAACACGTGTAGTAAGGTCAAACAGTAACAAAACGAAACATGTGAAGTAAGGTCAAACAATAACAAGACGAAACACGTGCAGTAATATCAAACAGAACAAAACGAAACACGTGTAGTAAGGTCAAACAGAACAAAACGAAACATATGTAGTAAAGTCAAACGTTAACATATTCATACTAAAGCGTCCACTGAATAATCTTGATATCTCAGATTGATAAAGATATTTCCAGTATGGATGTATTATAATGTATAGGCCAATGCATTTCCTAAGCATCGGTTATACAACACCATTTTCAAATCGATCTGAAACATTCTGATATTCTTTCATTGTAAGTTGCAAGAGGTAATTTGTATTGTGTAAAAAGCAATACTCAGATGTGACTCGAATTCAACTTTCTATCTTTCCTCTCAAAAGTTTCGTGAAAATGTGTCTCATTTTGCAGGGCTAGACCTGGATTCGGACCCTGGAGTGTATATTGTTTTACATCGCTCTGACGGACTGCGATACCTGGTAACGGACGTGTGTTTGCCAAACTGTACTACAGTAACATCTCAAATGAAATAAAGGGAGGTTACTGTCAATACGTAAAAGCCTATTGCATTGGGATAAGAATCAGTATTTGACATGTCTATTTTCTGAAGATACCATTTAAAACCTTCCTGCAATAAAATAATTCAACCTAACAAATTCAAAAATACCCTTGTGTGTTAAATAGCTTACGAAGCTTCTGAACACTATATATACTTTGTAAATTGAATAACCTGTCAAGGTAAAATGACCTTCACGCCAGCTGGAAGCTGTTTACAAACACTGAGAGCAGACAGGTTATCAGATATAGCATGACTTTGCACTC